GTGCACCTCGGCGTTGCAGAGATTCACCCAGAAGTCGTGCGAGTCCGTATCGAAGCCCTCGTAGCTCATCAAGGCCTTGTAGCCCTTGATCTCCAGGATGGTGGCCACCCAAAAAGAGGTAGGCGTCTGCCCGGGCTGGATCACTTCGATGCTATCGCAATCGGTGTTCTCCACCTCCACTTTCATGCCCACGCCCAGATTGTCCCATACCTCGCATCCCGGAGCATGTGGAAAACAGGTGACTGGGGCCGCATTGAAGTTCTCCTTGCTGAGGCGGGGTAACCAGTCGTACGAGTGCGTGGGATCGTACATCCGCCGTCGTATGCTGATGATCTTCTCCATTTGCGGACACGGCACTGGCAGGCGCTCGTACTTGGGAATTTGCGGCAGGTCATCCTGAGGGTAGACGTCCTTGAAGAGTCGCAGCGCCTTGGGCGTCGGAGCTGCGTTCAGATAAGAATTGGGCGTTGCGGCGCCTTCCTCGGCTCCACCCGGAGCCGTGGCATCACCCACTGCTCCGCCGTTCAAGGCGGCAATCGTTTCGTCCGCTGCCATTTGTACATTATTGGCAGCTGCATCGCCACCTAAAGACATGGGTTCGCCAAAGCTATTCAACTGGGTAATCTTCGATTGGTCCGTAATGCGAAAACGGTAATTGGCGTTCTTAATGTGCGCCGCCTGCAGATCAAGCTCGATATCCGACTGTGACTGGTGCGACTGTTCGTTGGCCAGCACTTCTTCGGCCGCCTCCGAAGCTCCCGGAACTGGGGAACTGGTGCTTGCCTGGCCTCCCTCCATCTTGCTGTTTAGTACCAACGAATAGAGTTCGCCGCGGGCACAGGCCATGCTGCAAAAGCGTCGCGATTTCGTGTAGAATGTGTGCTTCACTCCAATGGCTCCACAACGTTTACAGACAGCTGTGAAAAAAATAAAAAGTGAATGGTAAAAATATATTCAATCGTAATTTAGTTACATTTTCTTGTTAACCGTACTTCTATCCTGCTATACAAACCCAAATTCTTGCAACACAAACTCAAACTTAAAATCGAAGTAAATAAAACTTAAAAGGCTTGGAAATGAATATGTTGTAGAGTGAGTCGATTGTTCTAATTTAAAATGGCAGGGACGTTGTTTTAATAAGACTAAATACTAGATTGCTTCACTTATTGGTTTAATTCATTAAAAAATAACTATCTATTAAATACATTTGTTGATTATTTGTTGAACTTTTAAAGTATGCATCACAAGCTTCTGGGATAATATATAAATGAGTGATTGATAAAATGTATCTTTTAATTTCAATTCTTTAAAATAAACCGATCCCAACTATAAATCATAGTTGGGATCGGTTTGTTTTAAATGCTAGATTGGTTAAATTATTGTTTAAATTATTCAAAAAATAACTATCTATTAAATACATTTGTTTATCATTTGTTGAACTTATTAAAGTATGCATCACAGGCTTCTGGGATATTTAATAAATGAGTGATTGATAAAATTGATCTTTCAATTTTATTTCTTTAAAACAAACCGATCCCAACTATGAATTACATCTCTTTAATTTTATTTAAGTAAGTACTACAATCCGCCCCCACAATCGACCCACCCTATTGCAGAGCAACCTTACCCATGCCGTCTTTCTGTATGGGGATCACCGATGGGTCAATGTTGCCCTTGTAGGCGATGGGTGTCTTCAGCACCAGTCCCGGCCTGTTCACGGGCTCGATCTTGCGCGTCTTGCGCTGCGAACGCAGTGCGGAGGAGGTGGAGGCACTGCAGCTGACGGTGGTTGCGGTGGAATTGGCTGCCTTGGCCAGGCCGTAAGTGCGCTGCATTTGCTTGCCGGAGCTCACACAGGGTGCTGCTTCCGAGCTGCCCATAATGTTTTCCATGTAATTTCCCATCGCAGGGGCCAAAGTTGTGCCCAGCAGCTTGTGATGCAGCAGGCCATCAGCCATGGGGACCAGCAGATCGTGCTCAACTCCAGAGACACCCAGGCCACCGCCGGGCAACTGGGTCATGCAGGATGAGGAGGACTGCGAAATGTCCTTGTCCGAGGAGGTCATGAAGTCGGTGCCATCGTACGAATTATTGTCCTCGTTCATCATCACAAAGTCGTCGATGTTGATGATCTCCTGCTTGGGCTCCAGCCCCGAACCGCCATCGTCGTAGCCATCGTCCATCTGGCCGTACACCTGGTCGTCCTCGTCCACAACCGCCTCGCCCACACCCACGCCCATCAGAGTGCCATCGTGGGCGGCCATGCCCACCATGCCGGTGTCCACATCGCTATCCATGACCTCGGCATAGTTCTGGAAGACAGCCGCCGCCGCCGACTGCTGGAGCAGCTGCTGCTGCAGGCCGCCCATGTGGGCGAATCCGTACAGGTTGTTCGAGTTGGTGGCTATCAGGGTGCCCGGCTGAACACCCAGCGCAGCAGCCGCCGCCGCCGCCTGACCAGAGAAATCTCCACCCATCAGGCTCATCATCGGATTCATTTCCTGTTTTTTTTTGTCGAGCAGGTTGGGTTCGGAGTTTCAGGAGGTTCAGTTTCAGGTTGAGGTTCAATCATTGGTTTTGTGTGTTTTTGTGTCGAGTTATAAATTGTAACCAATACATAAATCATAGAAAAGAAAGTAGAAGAAATAAGTAAACGAATTCCAATTTTTTAACTGAGACAGAGACAAAAAGATAGTTTGGAAATTTGGCCAATCCCCAAAAAGAGTACGTGTTGAAACCTAAGGAATTTGGGTTTGCTTGCGACTCCGAGGACTATCAAATATAATGGCGCGGATCGTTTAACAGTAAATTATATTTATTAGTCTTCGAATTGAGAGATTGGCTTTCGGGTCAAACCGTCTGCACTCACCAAAGTGGGCTGATGGGCGGAGAGGTCCTCCATGACAGAGAGTCCGACTGTGGGATGACCCAGGAGAGTGGCCGCATCCTCCAGTGTAATGCGCTCCGAGTTGTACTGACTGCTCATCCACATCATGCGCAGCTCGGCCGGATTCATTCTATCGACGGTGGATTTGTCAGTATGGTAGGATCATTTATAAGACAAATTCTGGATTTTTTTTCAAAAAAATTTGCGAGTCCTCTTTGCTAACTCGCATTGGCTGAAATGGAAGGAAAATATATTTATAACTTATTGAATGTTTAAATCTTAATACTGAATACATAGGAATATTATATCTTAGTCATAAATTGGTGATTCGGATACATTGAAAATAAAAAGGATTACATTATCCTTTTCAATAAGAACTTTATAAAAACCCTCTTAAGTTTTGATGAACTCTATAATGTCATTTTAACAATTAAGATCCAAACGATACTCTTTAAAATAAGAATAAACAATACCTATCCATATCAGGAGATCATTATGATTCCATCATATATTGAAATTATCTCTGGTGATTCATGTGAGAAAACGTAAAATGTAAAAACTTTGTGGTGTTTTCCAGATATTTTTGAGAACTGCGAAAATACATAAAATAAGGAATATGACAATTAGGAAAATCAGATACATAAACCCTTTAAGAGTGGAAATTTGAGATTTTGTAAGGCATTTGTGGATTTGTTTAGGAAATAGAATAGAATACGTAAAATGTAAAAACTTTGTGTTATTTTGAAAAAAATTGGAGAACTGCGAAAATGCATAAAATAAGGAATATGACAATTAGGAAAAATTGGTATTTAAAGCCGTTAAGAGGCGAAATTTGAGATTTTGTAGAAACAATTGTTGTTTTGTTTAGGAACAGTTCCTTATTCCGGGCAATAGTCCTGGCCATATGGGCCGCAGTTCCTGACCGATTCCCAGTGTTCCTCGTTGTCCGTTTTGTTTGCCTCCTTCTCTCTTCTTTTTTGCCTTTTTTGCACGCAGCTGCTGCGCAGAGAGGAAAGGGCACGGAAATGTGATTAAAGACTTCCGTCGCGGTCTCAACTTCGGGGCATCTTTCTGCGGCAGTCACGGCCCCCATGGACATTCCACTAAACTGGCCAATAAACAATACTCGAACATATCCGATTTATCCAAATTTTGGTAACATTTTCCGTGCGAAGCACATCATTCGGTCGAAAAGTCAATGAAGCGTTTGCGCAGACAGCGAACGCGAACACAAAAGAAAACGCACGATGTTGCTGCCCCAGGCTGCAAACTTACACTTTTTGCACGTTTAACGCGTTCGGCTTGAGTTTCGCCAGCTGCTAGCACTTGTGGGGTTCCATTTTACGGCTTTTAAATGGATTTACCGAGGTTTTTTAATAGTTTTTTGTGAGCTAACTTCTTTTGCATTTGCGCCGAGCAGGGATGGCAATTAGTCCCAGGGTTGCACAGTCGCTTTTTTTTGGCATTCTTTTGCCCGCTAAACCAAAAGCGGGCGCGTTCAACGGAGTCACGAAAAGTGATTACCGATTCGTTCCCGTGGATAATTATTCTATCGATAAGTAACGGTTTACAATACTGTTGAAACTCTAAAATTTTTTTTAACAAAACTATAACTCTAATACTTTACTTATATTTATTTAAAATAATAATCCAATTGTATTAGATGTTTTAAAAATATATTTTTAATTTTTAATTCTAGGACCAAAGGACTCTTTTAAATTAATTTTATTTTTAATTGTCTTTAACAATTTTGGAAATCATATTTGCCAAATCACTGCTTTTGAAGCTTTACTTATATGCTTTTAAAATAATAATACAATTGTTAATGCAATTTATATACACTGTTCACAGCCAAGTGGGTATTAGATGTTTTAAAATCTATTTTTTAATTTCTAATTCCCCATAATTTATATACCAGGACCAAAAGACTCTTAAAGGACTCTTTTAAATTAATTTTATTTTTTATTGTCGTTAACAATTTGTGAAATCATATTTATCAAATCACTGCTTTTGGAAATCACTAATCACCGATTAATCGGAGTTCCAAGTTTGTTTACCAACCCTGGTCGATTGGTTTGTTGTCGACTAAACAGTGACAAAAATGATTAGAAAATAGTAGATTAGTTAAATAATAGCCACAAAGAATGCCAGAAAATGCGGCCAGCTCGTTGCCCACAGAGGGTGGCCTCCGGCACTTGCGCAGCCAACTGGCGGGCAGCACCTTTGGCCAGCGGCGCGAGGACATCTTTCGTCGCGTCCAGGAAAGTGCGCATCAGATCGCGCTGAAGTTCAGTGGCAAAGAACTGGCCACGGAGCGGGATGAGTCTGTCCAGGAACTGTGCGATTCCCTGGAGGAGCTGCTCTCCTACGGACTTCGTCAATCGGCCAGTGGCTCCACCTTCAGCGCCGCGAATTTCATCCAAAACATGCAGGAAATGGTGTCCGGAAGTGCCAGCGGAGGCAGCAACAACAATGACGCCACTTTCTGGGAGTTTTGCCAGTCACAATTGACGCCCCACGAACGCCAGCGGTACGTGGATCTCAAGCAGATCTGGACCAATGTGGGCCGCGGACGTGCCTTCATCCGATCCACGCTGAACGAGCGGCGTCTGCATAGCCATGTGCTCACCTGGCTGAGCGACGAGGAGCAACTGCAGCGGTACTACACACCCTGGTCGCTGCTGCTCAACGATGAGGCTGCGAAGAAGCTGCCAGAGATTATAGACTCCCTCAGCAATGTTTTATTCGCCCTTAATGTGGACACGACTGAGCTAAATGCGCCCAGGCGGTCGACAACCGCTGTTCCCGTCAGAGAAGAGCCCATTATCTACGCTCCAAGCCCAGTGCCTGTCTTGGTTCGCCAAAAGAATCGTCCTGGCAACGCAGTGGAGCGACCCATCGAGGGCGCCAGTTCCTTGGAGGATTTGCTGGGTGCCCTGAAACCCATTGAGGTGGTGGAGGTGCAGCAACTGGTCTCCAAGGATGCCATTGAAAAGGAGCTGGCCAAGCCTGTTGAAGAAGTCTTCGTGGGTCCTTTTGATCCCATTGGTCCTGAGTTGGAGTTTCTCAAGACGCCCCTGCCAGAGGTTCCTCTACAGGCTGCCCCAGAGCCAGATTTCTACGAGGACCGCAGCGATACTTCTTCCCAATGGAGCAAGTCCTCCTCCTCTGCCAACTGTGCGGCGAACAATCAACAGCAGACAGCGCTGGAGGAGCAGGTGAACCAGCTGAACGAAAGATGCGCTCTCCTGGAAACCCGCGTAGCGGAGCTGAATCTACAGAACCGCCTGCTCATCCGAAGGCTCACCAAACAGTTCGAGGAGACGGGCATTGATCCCAGCTCGTCGCTCTGCTCCAACTTCCTGATAACCATTCCGCAAGTGAAGCTGGCCAAGTCGGTGCGAGCTGGTTCCCACTACACCTACGAGGTGCACATCACGATGAGGCAGCGCCTGGAGCACTGGACGTTTTTCAGGCGCTACAGCGAGTTTAACAAGCTGCACAAGTCCCTGCTGAAGACACATCCCGTGGTCAGTGCCGTGGAGTTTCCGCCCAAGAAGCATTTCGGCAACATGAACCTGGTCTTTGTGGAGGAGCGGCGCCAGCAGCTGCAGATATATCTGCTTAATCTCGTCGAGATTCTGCCCCAGGTGGAGGCCTGCAAGTCCAAGGCGGAGCTGCAGAAGGTCTTCCCCTTCTTTAGGGATAGGTAGCAACCTTTAAGAGATATTAGTTAGCAAGAAAACTCAACCAAGAAAGCTCGAAAAAAACAAGTATTTCCCCTTATATTATTTCAATTTTGTTGAAGACATCTTTACTTATATGTGTAAAAACGGAGTTGGTCCAAGTGCTGTAATAATTGATATTAAATAAAGTTAAGACTTTTTCATCTAAAATGGGTGTTTGAGTAAGACAGTTATTTTAATTTAAGGAAATAAGTAGTTGAATACGTAATAGAAATAATTTGTAGGCCCGATTTCTCGTCCGTTTGTTAAATTTAAAATAGGGTTAAAACGATGATTTTCCATACGATTTCAAGGTTTTAACCATACTTCAAATTTAACAAACGGACGAGAAAACGGCTCTCAATATATTCTTAAACTTGATGTTGCTTTTTAATCTAGAGTAAAACCTAATAAAAAGGTCCATCTGAGGGACTATATGAATTTAAAGATAATGTTAAATCTAAAGTACAATTTAGACCTTGAAAATTTATGGGAATTCTGAGTTCAAAGCCGAGAAAGCGAATTCGCGCTCTTGAATTTAAATTTGCTGTTTTGGCTACCGATATGGTCTGTTTAACCAGCCATCGAACGGTCACACTGTCGAACAGCTGTGTTTGTTGTTATCAGTAAATTCTAATTGCGTGTACTTTCGTCGGCATAATTGATTTCTACACCATGATCGAGTGATCCGCGAGGGCTCCACGGACTCCCAATTTCCCAACTGACTCAACACTCTCGAAACGCGTGACCCCGGGGCATTTTCCGGGAACTGGGCACCTGCTAATTCAATTAGGCGCCTTTTCAAGGTCGACCATGTCGGGAGTAGCCATTGCCATCAATGCAGCCATTTCGGGCGCTGCCTACTGCATGACAGTGCGGATGATTCCCCGCTTCCGGGAGATGTTCATCAAGGCCAATCTCTTTGGCAACGATCTCTGCAAGAAGGACAAGCCACAGGTGTAAGTATTGGTTTGGTTCTTAAAAAGATAAGGATTTTCTAATTTAAAAACTCTCTAAATCTAGACCCGAATCCTTTGGCGTGCTGATTGGTTGTGTGTTCCTGGTCTCCCTGTTTCTGTTCATACCCATTCCCTTCGCCTTCGATGAGGCGGCTGCCACGGATGCGATTACTGGAGGCAAACCCGACACCTTTCCACACGATAAGGTAAATATCTAATTAAAAAAATGTCAAAATCCCCAACCTTATCGACTGTTATCGCCCGCTCAGTTCGTGGAATTGATTGCCGCCCTCCTGTCCATTTGCTGCATGATCTTCCTGGGCTTCGCCGACGACGTCTTGGATCTGCGATGGCGCCACAAGCTGCTGCTGCCCACCATCGCCACGTTGCCCCTGCTGATGGTGTACTACGTCAACTATAACTCCACCACAGTCATTATGCCCAACTTTGCGAGGGATCTGTTTGGCACTTCGTTAAATATAGGTAGAAACCTCTTCTAACCAAATTTATATCGCTTAACGGTTGGAAAAGATTTTTTGTACCAGCTTAAATTTATCCTAATATTTAAACCTTCGGTAAATCTCAGTAATCAAAATATTTTTCCACTTTCTTTAAATCAGACTTAAACAGCCTATTAATCAGCCTATTTAAATAACGATTGCTTGTATATTTATTTAAAAATCAATCTATATTAAGGGTGCTACAGAAAGCTCTTCTAACCAAATTTATATCGCTTAACGGTTGAAAAGGATTTTTGTAGAAGCTCTAATTTATCATAATATCAGGAATCGTGATATTTTTCCATTTTCTTAAAATCGGACTTGAATACCCAATTTAAAACACGATTGCTTGAATATTTAAATGTTAGACTATTTAAAAATCAAAGACATATGTAGCTTATCATTTAGTAAGCCTATATTTAGGGTGCTGCAGAAATCTCTTCTAACCAAATTTATATCTCTTAACGGTTGGAAAAGATTTTTTTTGTAGCAGCTCTAATTTATCATTATCTTTTAACCTTCGGTAAATCTCAGTTATCGTTTAATATTTCCAATTTCCTTAAATACGATTGCTTGAATATTTAAATATTAGAGTATTTAAAATTCAAAGACTGGATAGATTAAAAGAAGAAACTGTTTTAAAATTAATCGCTTATTTCATCCTCCGTATCATTGTTTAAATCTAATTGATTTTAATTAATTTTTTTTTCCCATTTCTTAAGGTGTTCTATACTACGTATTTATGGGCATGCTGGCGGTATTCTGTACAAATGCCATTAACATCCTGGCGGGCATTAATGGCCTAGAGGTCGGACAATCCCTCATTATTGCAGCCTCCATTTTGGTGTTCAATGCCATCGAATTGTTCCTGGGTCACCAGGTGGATTCGCATATATTCTCGATTTATTTCATGCTACCTTTCCTGGCCACAACGCTAGCGCTTTGGAAGTTCAACAAGTAAGTTTTGCTTTTGTTTATCTAATTGATTTTTATTTTTTGAAATACTGAATTGATCTGGCAAGTTAACAAATTGTCTTATATATATATAATTATGGTTCTAGGATAATAAATTAATAACACAAATAACGCACACAATTATTAACCAAATTTAAGTTCTTTTAAATGTGCTGGCTTCTTGATAACTTGTATCAATATTTAAAGTAAACCCAAAGAGCTTTCTCAAACAGATCATGTGTGTTTACATCAATGTATCTTAAAAATAATGCTAAGTTCAACCCATTTCACAACTTTTTTCCAGCTAATTTGTTGTTCATTACATTTTTCTCTCATAAATTCATTGTTTAGTTCTGGTTTTCTTATCACAGATGGCGGGTCTGTCTGTCCTGTCTGCTGAGATACTAAATTTGGAGATTGCTTGGCCAAAAACACAGAAGGGCATGTGAATGAGTAGATTATGATATGATGAGACTATGCGATTGATGGTTTTTCGAAAGCAGGCACATATAAATATATATATATTCGTAGGGAGCCCTGCCCAAGTCAGACTGTGGCGGGCGTAGTTAGTCCTCCTCCTGCAGATCCTCCAGCACGTCCACATCGTACAGATTAACCAAGAGCTGGCCGTACTGGCTGCTGTGCAGGAGTGCCTCCTCCGGTGCGAAATACTTTTCGCTCTGCTCCCGCAAGCGGAGCAGCTGGGTGGTGCCATCGATGTGAACTCCATTGGCTATCAGCTGCTGCATGTAGTTGGCATCGATGTGCGCATTTCGGGTGTCGTTGGGTAGCCTAACGGGAAGCTTCTGGTGGCTGGAGCTCTGCAGCAGGAGCACAATCTGCTCGGGGGGCAGACAAAGCTCGCAGTTCCAACCGCCGTAGTGATTGAGGTCGCCCAAAGTGCTGCTCGCCAGTCGGTGCAGTCGGTGGGCGTCCAGTTGGGCACTGGTGTGCAGGTGCCCCAAGGAACTTATCACCCCATTCAGCAGAGTCTTCTTCGGGTGCTGCCAGTAGAAACCGTACACGTTGTACTTCAAACGGAACTTCAGAGGCAGCACATCCTTTGCATAGTACTTGAGAAACTTGAGGGCCGCAGGAGCATAGACAGTTCCACTATCCCCGTGTAAGAGAAGATCCTGTGCCTGCATTTGGACGCCGCACTGCTGCCACAGCTGCCGCCTGAAGTGGCTGTAGGCCAGGGAGCTGCTGCAGTTGGTCTCGGAGGAGCAGCGGTGCAGCGTGTAGCTGGTGCGGCTGCCCAGCAAGCTCTCCAAACTCCGCTCCTTGCTGCCGTTACTCACGTAGTAGATGAGGAAGTAGTCCACCACCTCGATGAGCGCCCGAATTTGCAGCTCCAAGAGCTCCAGACTCAGATGGTCCCAGACCCCGAGTTCCAGCATGTAGAACAGGCGGTGCAGGGAAGTCGAACTGGCCTCGACCAGTTGAAGGGGAGTAGTGCTGCCTCCCCGTTTACTCGTCCGGCTGGACGTCATCAGGGCTCGCCAAATGATCTCCGGCTGGCCGCAATCCCTGCCGTGCCAGCCACTTTCGCAACGGCACTGCGGCGGTGCCATCAGGTAGTCCACGTCGTTGAGCCGCAGACTTTCGTTGATGGTGCCCTCGCGATAGCACCAAAGGGCGGGGGAGCTCAGTCCCATCTCCGCGTCCACATAGGCGGGCACATTGTAGTCGGGCAGGTGGGTTTCGTTCAGTCGGTGGTCCGGTTTCATTTGGAAGAAGTCCCTGTCGTAGCGGTTGACATTCTCCTGCTGCCGGAGGCACTGGGTTCCGGATAGAGGGTTAATCCTTACCTCACCGGTGGCCACGAAGTTCACCCGCGCTCCCAGCTGCTCCAGGGCGCTCCGCTGCTGCGACTCCTGGCCGCGGCTCATCTGGAGGAGCCAGATGCATCCGATGAAGCCCACCTGCAGCACCAGGACCGACCAGAGCACCAGCTTCTTGGTTATGGCCAGGCGACCCACGCCGGCTGCCGATGTCAGCGAGTGGACTGCTAGGTTAGAGCTCCTTACCATGGTTGCTGTCTCACTTTCTGCAGTTTTTCCTGCTCATTTTTGTTAAATCTTTTGTACTTTTCTCGCTTTTCCTCGGCTAGCTAACACGCCCAAATTTTTTTACGGCTCCTCCCCCGCACAGCTGTCGCAAATGTCCTCTCCCAGCTGTTCGCCGCCGCAGCGGAAATCTGGCTATTTTCTGTTAAATCTAGCTAGAAGTTTAACAGAGAGCCTGAATCCGGCTGGTTAGCAACACTGGATAAAACTGTTATCAAGGATACTGTTATTCAGGATGTTATTCAAAATTTTGAAGTTTTCGAACGTTATATAATGCACTATATTACAATCCACGGTAAATGTTGGTAAAATTAAATTTTAAAATATTTAAACTTTTCCAAATACATAAGGCAGATTTCCTTTATAATTTATTTTATAAAAAAAATTCCCCCAATTATTGTTTTATCCATAATGAGTGTTTAGGCATCATTCAACATTTTGTTATTATAGAATTATCTGTTTTTGAATTTAAAAAATAGTTTTTGAAATCAAATTCAGGAGTGAATTCAGGAGTGAATCTGTTTAAAAAACATTTCTACAAATCAAAGTCGAGTATAACATTTGAAAGTAAACAAAAGCGAGTAAAATACAATATTCGCTAATGATCGATATTTCTTATTTCCCAGATATCCCTCGCAGGTGTTCGTCGGAGACACGTACTGCTACTTTGCGGGCATGACCTTTGCCGTGGTCGGCATCCTGGGACATTTCAGCAAGACGCTTCTTCTGTTCTTCCTGCCGCAAATCCTGAACTTCCTGTACTCCACCCCGCAGCTGTTCCACTTTGTGCCCTGTCCCCGTCACCGGCTGCCCAAGTACGACGCCAAGACGGATCTGCTCCACATCAGCACCACGGAGTTCCGCTTGGAGGATCTCAACACTCCGGGCCGTTTGATGGTCACAGTTTTACGCAAGCTGCGACTTATTAGCTGGCACACCAAAGCGGATGGGATCGTAAGGACCAACAATTTAACCCTCATCAACTTTGTGCTGGTCATTTTTGGTCCCGTCCACGAACGAGTGGTCACGCAGATGCTGATGGGATTCCAGGTGCTGTGCACACTGATTGCGCTCACCATTCGCTATCCCCTGGCTAACTATTTTTACGCGAAAACGTAGCCCCCGGATCTTATCCTTCATTTATTCTGATATTTATTGTAGTAAGCCTTGGCTAAGTTAACTAACTATACAAACAGAATACATTTATTTAATGCCTACACAAAATATTTCCCAAAAGTAAGTCATAAGAAAAATTCTGTATTTCACTCGTCAATAAAGAACCAAGCGAATTAACTCTAAATCACCATGGCCACAACGGAAATGTCGGAGGAGGATCTGTCGGCGCCCGAGGAGGAGGAGGATTTGGGACCCAATATAGGCGTAAGTTGGAAGTGGTATTTAAATGGGTACACACAAAAAAAAAAAGCATGTTCCCGTACAATTGATAAGGCCATGTGAATTTCAGGTCATGCAACCCATATTGTTTTTATATGAAATACGCATATCTAAAATTGATCTTAAATTATGTAAAATCAATCTACGTTTCATATCGATTTTTTTTTGGGTATAATGGGTGAAGATTTTCCAACACAACCTATCGTTGTAATGGTATTTGAAATTCGCTGCCTACAATTTTAAAGTTGTTTTAAAGCTTTTTTTTCTTGAGATAGATCTTCCAAATTTATACTATATAATAAACTATTTTTGGGTTTTCAAAATTTATGTATATGTTTATTTTAATGTAGCTAATCAAAAATATTTTCTATATTAAAGTGTCCGCATATCTAAAATTGATCTTAAATAATGTAAAATCGATTTACGTTTCATATTGAAATTCGCTGCCTAAAATTTTGAAGTTGTTTTAAAGCTATTTTCATTCTTTTTATTTTCGAGATAGATCTTCCAAATTTGTACTATATAACAAACTTTTTAATGGGTTACTCAAAATTTAATTATACGTTTATATTAAAATTTTTCTCAGTTGTATATCGGCGGTCGTAATGCGGCAGGTCAAAGACACGGTAGAGGTTGGGCCATCCTGCCCAACGGCGACCAGTACGATGGGAACTACCGTAAGGGTCGCCGTCACGGAATCGGGCTGTACGTGTTCAAGGACGGATCACGGTACTACGGGCAGTACCGCTGTGGCAAGCGCTGTGGGCGTGGCATCTTCATCTATCCGGACGGATCCGTGTACGAGGGCAACTGGCGCAAGCACTTGAAACATGGCAAGGGGCGGTACAACTATGTGAATGGGGACACTTATTCAGGGGACTGGTTCAAGGGTCAACGGCATGGGGTGGGAATCTATCGCTTTAATAGCGGCACGGATGCCTGTTGCTTGTCCGTGAGAATGAAGGCCACCTGGAACAGCAACATGCGGACGGGTCCCTTTGAGCTGTACATCGGAAACGAAGACAAGTGCACAATACTCCACGGAATTTGGGACTCATTGTACCCCAGTGGACCAGCCGTGTTCAGCTTTAACAACCGGTATTTGTTACTGGGCTATTTCCTGCCTGCAAACTACAATTTCAAGGCAATCGGCAACGAGGATGAGATGGAAGATGAGGAGCCTTTGGATGACGAACAGGGCATGGAATCAACCATGTCGCCCACTCTCTGGTTCGCCCAGGAGATCGCCGTGTACGACTTTGCGCTGCTGCCACAGGAGCCAGTTCCTCTGGCCATTTCCGACTCGGAGCTGTCCATCTGCTCGCTTTCCACGGTGCCAAGCATGCGCAGCGAGGAGAAGATCAGCTGGTACGGCGAGGGTGAGGAGGCCGAGGGCGAGGAGGGCGGCGAGATGGAGTGCTTCCCCTGCGAGTGCGACCTCACCGATCTCAGCGAGGTGGAGACGGAGAGTGAGGTGTGCAAGATCGACGCCAATCCATGTTGTATTGAAATCCTCAAGCAGCCAGAGTGCCCTGATCCTTAGAAATGTAGCTATTATTCCACATTCTTTCGTTATTGTTTGTTTATGTTTCCTGCAAATGAAATAAATCATCATCAAATCAAAATAAATTCATTAAATACTATAATTAACTATTAACCCATGAAAATAAATCATCAAATCAAAATAAATTCATTAAATACTATAATTAACTATTAACCCGTGAATATTAGTTATACAGCTAACATATTTGCTCTATATTATTTTTTATTATCGTACAATTTCATTAACATTTCTTGTTTTCAATTTAAAATACGCATTTTTCTTTTAATTTTTGATGCTTATACTCGTAATGCAATGAAATCACAAATGGGGGCTCTTTTTAAGTATTATTGACATGATACCTTAGCGATATATTCCAGGTGTGAGTTGATTTCAATTTTAAATTCATTCAGCTTACTTTTTGATCATCGTCCTGTATACTCGTATGACTTGCTCCGATTTGTTCTAATTTTCAGCACTTGAATTCATATGTTTTGCTAATTAACTCTAAGTTGAATTATTGTTGTCTGCCTTACCATTATATCATAATAATCATTAACATTACCTTCGCTTGCAGATGATTTTGATTCACTTACATCTTTACAATTTATATTTTCGTTAGTTTTTATTATAATTACTAATTTAAAATTTAAAAAAATCTCTAAGTGCTGGCATTGGCTGCCTTGGGTGGAGGAGATGATGGTGAGGCGTCTGACAACTTGCCAATCTGCCTATACTGACAGACATCGCCGCAACTGGCGGCCAAGCTGTTGGACTCACAACTGGACTCGGATGGGGGAGTCTCACTAGTTGCTCCATTACCGCACTCATCCAGGATTATGTTCAGCTTCTCCGTCTTCGCCTGCGCCGCAGGACCTACGTCCTGTGAAGTGGTCTCCACAGGGTTCAGGCGGAGCATTTGGTAGGGCGCCTCGCCCTCCTTCTGCAGTTCATGGAGAGTGCTACCGTCTTGCTGTTTGGACACCTTGTAAATGGCCGGACAAGATTTCGAGTTCTTCACATCGTTCGAGTCCTTCAGTTTGGACAGCTGTTCTGTCTGTTTCAGGGGCTGCATCTCCTGCTCCTGGTTATTGTCCTCCACGCTGATGCACTGCGACAAGGCCACCGCTGCCGCCATGGCAGCCGCCTGTCCACTGCTGCTAGCTCCTTCGGGATTTAGATACAGCATCGGCGCATTGAAGAGCAGCAGCTGAGGCTCCATTTTGAAGTCGTGCTCCAACTGCTTTTGCTGGTCAAGATTCTCATCAATGTAGTTGATGTGGATGGGTGAGGTTTGCAAATTAAGCTGCGAGCTATGCAGCAGATCGACGTCTGGTGGGGTATAGTAAATCGACGCCTTGCTGGCTGAGTAATTGGCTGATAGGCGCGCCTTAATTTTCTGTATGTGCAGCTCCTTGGAGCCAGCAAAGTCCATTTGGCCTTTGAAATAGCAGTCTATGTCTGTATAAGAAAGATATTTTTATTATAAGTTAAAGCAAAGTCAAGATCTAGATCTTCTTACCCTCGGCAATGTCTTCTTCACATCGTCCGCGACAATTCTCGAAGTAGAAACTGGGCAGGTTCTCCAGCACCTTGTTCAGTGTCTGCTGCTGATACTTGTATCCCTCCCGCAGGCGCAGCACCTGATGTGCACTGAACTTGCGGATTTTGTTCCGCTGGAAGACATAGTTTTCTCGCACCCAGCTCAACTGGCCAGTCGAGTAGTCGCGAACCTTCTTAACCTGATCGTAGTACTGGTCCTTCAGCGTGGTAAGATGATTGGAGCCAATGTCTCGGAACTCGCGGATGTGCTTGGCCTGACTGGTGTAGCTGCTCTGAATCCACTCCACCTGCTGGGCGCAATTCTCCCGGATGCGGTGCACCTGCTGGGCGTAGTTCTCGCGCAGCCTCTCCAACTGCTGGCTCTTGTAGGTCTCGATGCTGTCCAGCATGGCGTAAATTTGCCGTGGTCTCGGGGACTTCTTGTTCCGATTGGCGCAGCAATAGAAGCGGTTGCAGATTCCCCAGCGTGAAAGGCAGCTTCTCAATCCCTGAACCATCAGGGTTATCAGCAGGAATGCGGTGGCCAGGGCCGTGCCAAACAGTATGCTGCCGATCTTCACCCGGTAGAACACAATGGGATCGATGTACAGTCTGAAAACAAGAAAAGTATTTAGTATTTAGTTAAATCAATAGCTAGCTATTCCCACCGTAATCCTGCCGAGGCTTTGCCCATCACATTGAAGGCATAACAAGTGTACAAGCCACTGTCAATTCTGGAAATATTGTGCACCAGCAGCGATCCGTTCTCCACCAGCACTACTCGCTGACCCACCAAGTTCTGCTGACGGGTCAAGTTCAGGGACTGGATGTAACTCTCGTCCATCAGAGCGGCCAGCTCCTTCGCACTCGGTGGCTGGTGAGCATTCTCCTTACTGTCGATTATAATCGGCCGCTTGTCGGGATCAGCATGGTGACGCAGAATTTTAAAGCGGGGAGTAACCTAATAAATGTCAAACGATTATTCATCTATTGGCAATTCAAATGTAAAGGCTTACGATGAAGTTGTAAATTAAGTATATGCTGTGCTATTTCTATAGGAATGGAAATTATTTCTTAATTCAAAAATTGTATAACTTTTTCTTATACATTATATTTAGAAATATTAATGTTTAAATATAACTAACTTGCTAAATAACATAATAATTTTAGCTTATTAATAATTAACTTTTCACAGCATCTCCGTAATTTTTCTAAATCATTATATTTATACAAAAGCAAAGTAATTTTATATCAATTATAGACACGGTTTGTAGCCGGAATAAACTATTAAATATATAATATTAAAGTTTAAATATAACTAACTGGCTAAATAACATAATAATTTCGACTTATTAATGATTAACTTTTCACAGCCGAAACTTTTGTAAAACATTATACCTATTTATACAGAAGCAAAGTAATTGTATATCAATTATAGACACGGTTTATGGTTGATATAACTTAGCCATAAGCGAAATCCTTTAAGTACTCACCCATATGATGTCCGGAACTGGGCTGCCTGAAATTTGGCACTCCAGCTTGGCCGTGGAGAGAAGCTTGTGCATCTTGGGCTCTGAGAACTGCACCACCGAGGGCACCGAGCAGTTGAGATTGCTCAGCACGCGGAGCATATCGCCGGGATAGCCATACTGGCAGCTCAGCGCATCGATTTGGGTGTCGATGCTCTCGTACGAGTCCAGCGGAGTCTGGCTGGGATTGGCACTGTTACTCTGCGCCTGGGGCGGCAAGTGGCGCAGGCTAGTGCTGCTATTAGCCAGCCAGGCTGTCAACCAATACATGCTGCAGTCGCACTGGTACTCGTTTCCCAGTATATTGAGGTAGTGCAGCTGCCTGAGCTCCTTGAGGCCTTCTGGCAGCGATCCCAGGCTATTTCCACGCACACTGAGTCGCTGCAATCGTGACAACCCCGAGATCTGGGTGGGCAGCTGAACCAAACCGTTCTCGGCTAGCAGCAGCTCCCTCACATTGGGAGTATTGGCGAACAGAGTGGCGGGCAAGCGAGTTAGATGCCGATTCTGCTGCAGCGAAAGGTAACGCAGGCGATGCAGCACTTGCGGATCCACATGCGACTCATCGTAACGCGAAATCCAGTTGGAAAAGTGCTCGATGGGCGTCTCATCGATGCGTAGCAACACCAGGGAGCGCTGCCGCTGGAAGAGGCCGCTGGGCAGTTGCTTGAACTGATTCCGACTGAGATCCAACTGTTTGAGGGAATGCAGTGACTGGAAGATGATGGATGACAGCATGGTCAGGTTGTTGCCGGATACGTTTAGTGCTAGCAGCTGGTCCAGTGACTCGAACGCCTTGCGATCGATGATGGTCAGAGAGTTCTGGCTAAGATCCAGCTGCCGCAGTTCGCGTAAATTGTAAAGACTGTGCTTTCCAATGGATTTAAGCTGATTTCGCTGCAGATGCAGCTGACGGAGCTTCCCATTGGGGGCGAAGAAGTTGTCCGGAAAGGAGAGCAGGCGGTTGTCGCTGAGGTCCAGCACTTGGAGGTCGGGTGCTGTTTGGAAGAGATGGAATGGCAGGACGCTCAGCCGATTTCCGGAGAGATAAAGCCGCTCCAGCTTCAGGGCTCCTCCAAATATATCCCGCGGAAGCTCGGACAGCAAATTCTGGCTAAGATTCAGCATGCGTAGTTCGCTGAGCTCGCCCAGGAAGCGCTGCGGCAAGAAGCTCAGTCCATTCCTGTCCAATTGCAGCTCCTGCAGTTGGTTCATGTGCTGCAAACTCATTAGGCTGCAGTTGGACAGCCGATTACCGCTCAACTTAAGTACTTTCAGACGTCTCATGGTTTTGGGCATGGCCCAATGGAGGCACTCCAAGCTATTCTCAACGAGATTCAGCCGTTCCATGTTATCAAAGCAGTGCGGCTGGCGGGTAAAGAGCTCTCTGAGCGGCTCATCCTTAAGGTTACTGTCCTGCCAGGAGAATTCCCTGACGCTCTCGTTCTGCGGCAGCTTCAGGGGATTACTGAGATCCGCAGGCACACGGAGCAGCATTACTTGGTCGTAGTTGACGTGCGAACTCCGCTTTGAGAGCAGCTCCTGGTTCACTAGCCTCAGGCCAACATGCTCGCAGCTGAGCTTGAACACATTTTCCGAGGGATCCACTTGATCGGACGAGAGGAGCTCATGCTCCTCCACCTCCGCGCTCTCCGTTCCGGCGTCCAAACCATCCAGCCACAGACCCTCATCACTGTCACTATCATCTAGATCCGAGTCCACTGCATGTCCCACAAACGGCAGGTGGAACTTGTAGCCCAGCAGGGAGAACTCCTGCTCCTGCCAGATTCTGGCCCGTGGTCTGGCCTGCGGTCGATGCTGCTGTTGGGGGATTTGGGCCAGCAACGCCTCGGCGCTGCTGTAGGTGGCTTGGCAGTGTCTACTGTCGCCACTGGTGGTTCCCACTGCGGCGTTGACCACGACGAGCAAGGCACACAATATCAGGGAAATCTGCGATATTGCTTCCATTTTTCAGTATGTAATCTCAGATATTTATACGGTCGCATAGTACACCTGCAAAATGGGAATGGGTTTAGTGATAATATTATTATTATTATTGTTATCTAATGCTAATTTATAGTTAAAACTATAAACTAACAGTGGTCTTATTTTAGAGCTATAGCAGCAAAAGGCCTTAAGCTCGCTTATTGTGGTTTAGTAGTTATGATTGTTATTTGTATTATATTTTATTTATTTTTTTTTTAATCTTATATAGTATGTTGCAATTATTAAGGAAGCGTAGGATTTTCTGGGTATTGATTAAAGTAGGATTTGAGATTATGTGGATAGGGTTTTGGGTTTGGGAGAGCGGGGCATGAGGTAATAATATGGGTTAGGCTTATTGGTTATTGATAATATAACTATTTCGATTAATGAAATGTTATGATAAGTGATTTTTGCTATTATTATAAGTGTTCATACATACTTGATTGCATTTTTATGTTATAACCACCAAGGGAAACCTATTTATCGCATGGAACCTACAGAGCTCACAGCCAAGTTCTGGACAAAAAAGCCTCAATCACTTTAGGTTTTTGGTCATTATTGATTTTTGTGCTATCACCCTTCTAGAACCCAAAAAAAGGGGAAAAAAACTGTCGCAACTCTCATTTCATTGGTAGACCGGGAAAATGACCCAGAACAATGACCAAAATCAATAAGTTAGGTAAATATTATAAATAAAGCGGTGAGTTTCAGGCGAAGGAGAACTTGGAGTCCAGTTGCGTGTCCAAATGGCGACGCACAGAAAATGTGTGGAACTATGAAGTGAAGGAATGTATGTATTATTCAGAGCGTCTCCTTTGAATAATGCATTATAATAGTGTCTGTCTGGATTGTGGAGGAGTTCATTCTTCGCCATCTCCAGTTTTCTCTTCGCACGCAATGAAGATTTAAAACTGTACGACATGCAAAGAACCAACTTTTTCTGTGAACTAAAATGTGTTTTAAAGTTATAATGCTTAAGAGGAAAATTCTGATTACCTCAAAGGAGTAGGAGTAATTATTAAATAAAATTCTTTTCTTATTTTACATAAACCAACAAAATAAAATAAATTGTTTACTATACATTGCAAAATATTACAATAAATAAATCAAAAATAATTTATAGATGTCTCTAGTAAGTAAAAAACAATTCCATAAGTAAGTGGTTACTTCATGAAAATAAATCCGCATGGTTAATAATCTCCTAGAAAAAATCCACTTTTCATCTTGATATATATGAATTAAATTATTTAATCCACACCGCTTTTAATACGAAAGCTCCCAATATTATTTACCATATATTTAAATTTACCCCGCATTTGTTTATAAACAGAAATATCGACTGAAATGCCGCCCAGCAACCGCAACCTGCATCAACAAAGCAATTACGCTCAGTTGATTTCAGTTCCCAAGATTATTACTCAATGTGCCGAAGTCGAAAGACGGGGAAACTATAAAACTAAATTATTGTATAATATCTGGTCTGTGTTGAGAGTGACTGACCCGATGCCACGTTGAAAATATAGAATATAGAAGGCGTAAAGCTTTTCCATTTATTGTCAATGGCCAGCTGTTAGGGGGAAAGCTGATAACAGCCAACGAACCCATAAAACTGATAAGCCGAGACTTGCGAAAAGTGATCAAGATGGATGGTTGTTGGGGATTCAAAGTAATCACACTTCTCAGCGAAATTAATTCAGAGTCAATATTGTTATGGATAGCAAATATTTTTGAGTGTGTGCAAAATTCACAGCAAAAATCTGGCCAAAACTGCTTGGCCGAAACAAAAATAACGAAAAACCGATACAAAAATAGCCCAACACACAGACGGACAGACGAAAGCAATACACATGCAAATAGGTCGAAAAAGTGCCACGAATCTAAGACAATAATTAAATTAGTTGGCTCAGAAAGCGAGAAGGTAGTTAACAAAATGGAGTGCTACCAATAAATAAGGCCTATGGCTTATCGCTCGGTAACAAAGGAAATAAGTGTCCAACAGCTGATGGCGCAACCAGGCAAATTACTGAAAGGAACCTCCATTATTGGACAAACAATTAATTTAAGTGTCGTTCTCATTGAGCCAAAGAATCGGAGACGCCCGAAAGAGAGAGGGATAGAGTGGGTTGCATAATCTGTCATAGAATCCAAGCTCAAAACAGGGCAAAAACAACCGTTTAACTGCGGGTCTAGTGTATATAATGTACGTATGTATGTATCTAAACATACTCGCACACACACACAGGTAAGGCCTGCTGACGTCTGAAAAGCCGCTAATGAGACAGGCGGGCATGAAAATACCAATTAGCTCTAGCCGAGATTCTTTCCCTCTGAAAGTACATAGAATCATTCACAAAATTGAAAGATTTCCGCCCACTTGTAATTTATTCAACACCTTTCGTCTCCTTCACCTTGGATCTCTCACCTCAAGTGTGTGTGAATATGTGCAAGATGCAGCGAAGATGTTGCCAAGGGCAACGTTTGTGGCTCCGTTGCGGAAACTGCCGATGGATAATCGGACTTCGAAGTGGAGCCTCGCATTACATAGCCACCGAAACTTCTGGTTTCATTTTTTTTTCACCCTTTGTGGCTGAAGTAGCCGTTTTTTTCTACGCACACACTTGCACCTGTCCGACTAGGGATATTTAACTTGGCCTCATCAATTGATTTTAACCCTCTATTCGTAGCTACACTTAACCCACTCAAGTAACGTATCTTATTTGCTATTCATATCTTTTAAATATTATCTCACCGTTGTTTATATTCTATGCATCTTTTCGCGTCTTTTTCGTCTTGGCTGCAGTGTGACCGTAGCGGGACCGTTAAAGCAGTCCACGGCACATTAAGAAAACGTCCTAAAATAAACCAGCTGTTCGGTAATAAGCGCCTTAAAATATACCAAAATCCAGTGTTGCGCAATGACACTTCAAATACTACGTTTTTTAAATTAAGATTAACGTATTTTTTAATAATTAATTTAGTTGTTGTAGTTTGATAACTGAAAAACTCTTTGTTAAATTAACAGTATAAAATATTTGATTTATTTAAATAAACTTTGAAAGGATAAGGTGGCTTCTTGAAATGTCTTTCAATGGAATAGGAAGAGACTTATAAAACTGGAAGCGATCAGATAGGATAGCCTCACAGCCTTGTTAAAGCCTCAATAAATTAAAATCTTTATTCAAGTTTATCGGGATGACTCTTCCAAACCAGATCTATCAACATGACTCCGGTCATTAAATCCCCAAACCGGCTTCCAGTTTTAATATTGTTAGCACCCCGAACCTGGTGAAAAATTATCATGAGGAACTGCAGTGGCTACAAACTTATAGATGATGAACGACTTAATTTCCTCTTTTATTATTTTCTTTAGAAAATTACTATCATATCAACCATCAAAAAATTCATTCACTGTTGATCGGGTAGTCATTTTTAGAAGAAGGCACAAAAAATTTTGAAACCAAAGATTTATCCCAATTCTCTAAAAGCTCAAAAGATCTCTACGTCAGCAAATCTAAATCAAAAGCATTATCCAAATTTTTTAGCTCTCGGATGTGAATCTTTACCTGTTAGTAATTTTAATCCACTTTATTTCCGATCAAGAAATCGCAGATTCAATGTAACTGTGGAATTGTTTCCACAATCTTTAATTAGAGGAATTATTTATTTTGATAATTTTGTACAACTCAAAAGTGAAAATCCAATACATATTTATGTCCCAATGGGTAAAATACACAAATATTCAGAAGAATGGACACTTAAAAACCGTAATAGAAAGAAAAGGCACTTTGGGATTCTCTCGATATACATTAATGTATTTAGTGTTAAGATATAACCACAGTTATCGCTCAGTAATTATCATTTAAATAATGGCATTCAGAATGCTAAAATTAAACTACGAATCGTTTAAAATGTACTCGGATCGCCGATGGACCACATGCATATAGGCAGATGCAGGGATCAACAACGACGAAATTTGTGATACTTCTAGGACTTAGAGACTATGCTAATTGTATAATCCTATATTTAGCTGCCTTGGCTAATCATTCTCTACTCGTACCGTATTACATAATATTTTTGCTCCGCTCCTCGAAAGACCACACTGGGTTATTCACTTCGTACCGACAAACTAAACCCTAAACTTAAAATACTATTTACACTTGGTGGTCTGGTCCAGCAGCTTTTTCCACAGATCGAACTGTTCGTTCGACTTGATCATGTGCACGCTGATTGCATTGCGGATGTTGCACGGGTTGAAGGAGATGCGCCGGTTGACGAACTCGTTGGCCTGCACCCGCTTGATATTCAGGCTCTTGGCCACGATGCCCGTGGTGAAGACATCCTCCAGCTTCAGATACACGGTCTTAAGCGATCGCACGTACAGCTCGTGCACGATGTCTCCGGTGAGAACGTAAGCTGGTCCAGTGGTGAAGGAGGGAAACACGCCCGCTGCAAACTGGTCAACGGACACGTAATACTTGGACTTCTTGTTGCGAATCGGTTTCCACTTTTTGGCCAGCCGACCGTAAATGATCCTCTTCTCCTTGTGCTTGTCCAGGAAGGTCAGCAGCTTGGGCACATTGATGAACATGTCATCGTCCGTCTTGAGGATGTACTTTGCCTTCGGGCAGTGCAGATCCGCCCACTCCAGCGTGGATATCGTCTTGAGGGTGAGGTTATTGTACGAGTCTATGAAGTTTCCGCGTATCAGATCACCGTAGATGAAGTTCTCCTGGGTGAGGGCCTTGTTCAGAGTTTCATTAATGCCACGGCCCAAAACGAAGGCCATGCCAACGTCTCTTCGGCTTCCGTAGTGCATCCACGTCTGGCGAATGGACATTCGTGCAGCATCATGAGACATTGCGGAGCTAATAAGCACCAGAAGCTTAATGGACTCGCCGTCCCGTGGACAAATGCGCTGCGCATCGATTTCCTCGTCTATGTGGCCTGGTTCGTACAGCTTCTCGGTGGCCACTCCCTTCGATGGATCCACTGGAGCACTTGGCACACTGGCCACGCTCTTCGTCTTTGTCGTCTTCACACTGGCCACTGCTGGTCTGGCGGATTTGGGCGGTGAAACTACAGCCTCCTTCTTGGCATCCTTAATTTCCTGTATCACCTTCGATTCCACCTCCTCCTTAACGGAGTCAGCTTCGGAGACCTCCAGCTTGCCATCCACCGAATTGAGTTGTGCCATATCCGCTTGACTTCCTTTATCTATAAAGAGAAACCAGACCATTAGGTTAGACCATTCTGTAGATGTAATAGAAAATAGAGCCCTGCGTGAATCATTCAATTTTTGTTTTATCATAGAATGCCATAAAATTTCTGATTTGTTTAATTCAATTCTTTGTGAAATAATTTTAATTATTTTCTAATTCATTTCAAATTGAATGAATGAATCAATAATTTTTATGAATTTTTTAACAAATCAATGTTAACTGCTTAGTAAATAAAATTCAGGCAGATTTAACCACAAAATTATGGCCCTTTCTTCTTCAAAAGAAATTGTTGTTTGAATTATTTCGGAATTCATGCCATTCATTCATTCAATTCTTTTAAACTCTAAATTCAAATTAATTCATTAATTTAAAAGAAAAAATTCAAAATAATTTATTGAATCCATTTATGCAGGGCTCTATTAGAAACACAAATAAAGACTCGAGTGAATTCTAATTCGTCCCATAAACAGCTGGTCGCCAGTAATCCAATAGTATGAAATAATGACCGATTGTTTACAGCGCTTCCATAATGAAACACGAAACCTGCCCATATTAGCGAACGCCATTGGGTGCGCCGTCAGCAGGTCTTTGTCTGTACAAATGTTTGTTTTTTTGGAGGGCTTTTAGATAGAAATTTATAACAAGGCAGGGATCGTTGAGACAACACTTCAACTCGAATAGTTACAGAAGGATGTAATTTAATTGCTATGACGAACAGGGTTTTAATTACCTGTGTTTTGGTCAGTTCCGGTTGCGGGGACACCAGCAGCTCCATTGCTACTGTTCGAGGTGATGTTCTTCAGTATCTTATCGGCATTCTCGATAAACTTTTGCAAATTTGATGTCGGTATAAGGAGCTCGGCATCGGAAAGTCCCGGCTGTAACTGTTGCGGTGATTGGGCGGGAATCGATTGTTTGACAACCAACGTGTCTGCAGAGCTATTGTTATTGGTGCTGCTGTTGATGTTGCCTGCGAAAGATGCGATTCATTAGCTTAATTAGCATCACGATATTATCACTGCCACTTACCGGTGATGCCGTCAACGCTCTGGCCATACTGCTGCTCCTCCAGCAGCTCATCCGCCATGCCATTGGGCGTCTGTTCAGCGCCACCCACCTGGGGACTGGCGCCGGCAGAGCCGCCGTCGAGCAGGGCATCCTCATCGATGGTGGGCAGTCGGTGCTGCGGATGCTTCTTGTGGATCTCCACTGTTTGCTGTTGTTGCTGCTGCGACTGTCTGCTGGTTAACTTAGCCGTACTTTCTCCGCCAGCCGGCGGACTGTTCTCCTTCTCCGTGTTATTGACTATCTGCACTTGGTCCATCGGCTGGCGACCAGGATGACCACCAATCAACTGCTGCGGCGGTGAGGCCGCCGGGTGCACATGGTTCGCAGTCAGAGTGCCCGTCGTCGAGTACGAGGCGTAGATGAATATGGTGAGGATCACCACGATTAGGACTAAAAGGAAGCGCAGCATGCGCGTGTTGTGTAGATTGCCCACGGCCGCCATGGTGGCTCTGGCCAAATCTCAGTCAGTCTCGGCCTCGGTTTCAGTCTGGACTCCGCTCCGCTCTTCTCTTGGTTCTGGTTCGCTTTTCGTTTCTCGTTCCCGCCTTCAATCTGTGAGTATTATGATAACGATGCCCTGGACGCTTGCTAGCCTGGCGACGACTGCGGTGCAACTGCAATGAGAGCACCACGGAAATGTAAGTAAACAATTGATTCAGCTGATTTGTTAAGTGCTCCCATACCCGTCACTCTGGGAACAGGAAGGTACATCTATTTAGATAAAGATGGGATGTGAGGGTTTCTTGTAAAAAAATTGTTTTTTTCATATTTGCTAGATTACTAGGAAAAATAATAACTAGACATCGTATTTTAGGGAAAATCGATTTTTTTAGATACGATTTAAAGCCACAATTATTTGGTTACAAATTTTATTTATTAAGTTATAATTAGATTTAGGCTAAAATGAATTGAGGTTTTTGTAAAAAACTTTTTACCAATCAAATGTGGCTTTAAATCATATTTTAAAAAAACGATTTCACCTAAAATCCGATGACTATTAATAACATTAGAATTTACAAATCCCTAAAAAAAAATATACAAAATGTATATGTATATTTAAAAAAACACTTTTTAATTTTCTCTCCCCCTCTAGAGATGTATTTCACAGTCGAGTCAACCCAAATACTCTGTTCTGTTGTTTTCGTTACCACTGGCGAGGAAAATGCAAATATTTGTGAGTGAGGTGGAGTTACCTACGCGGAAAGATAACGTTTTTGTATACTTTCAGAATTCTAAAAAAAGCAAACTTACATTGCATTTACGTTAGAACATATGGTTAAGTTTTTGTTCTATCATTTGGCATTGTTCTATTTATGGTACTCGTAATAAAATTTATTTTTAAAGGACTCACAAATTAAATTAAACCCTGCAGTTTCTTCTTTTAAAATAGGGAATCCATATTAGGCATTCTTATTGAAGCAAACTTACATTGGATTTACGTTAGGACTTATGGTTAAGTTTTTGTTCTTTCATTTGGCATAGTTATATTTATGGTACTTGTGATACAACTTATTTTTCAAAGCCTCAAAAATTAAATTAAACTTTTCAGTTTCTACTTTTAAATTCAGGAACCTATTATTTAAAGAAAGTTTGTGGAATTTCCAGGGGTTTTTGCAATTGTTTGCATAGTTTGGAATTTGAGATCTCGGCTGCCAGCAATTTTATTTTGGGAAACACGAGGCAAATGCCCAACTGATTTATATGGTAATGGGAGTGACGAACGGCGGGCAAGGCACTTGGGAAGTTTCCACCGGCTAATGAATTCCCAGAAAGAGGAGAACACGCACAGCATCCAGAATTGTCACGACATCGCTTTGGGCTCTGGGCCCACTTTGCATGCGACTCGAACAAGTCAACAGCAGTCTTGACCCGATTCGGAGACCGAGGAGAAACCCAACGGAGGCAGAACTTAATACACAAACTTCGGGCAGACTCTTGACCAGAAGTGCTGGAGCCACTTGACTCGTCGCGCTTTGCCCGGCTGGACGACGATAAGATTGCTTATCGGGCGATCCCATCTGGGTATTTCAGGGCTAGCTTTCTAGGAATCCCATTAGGGTCCACATATATATAGATTTAATCGGTGCCTTACTGGGCTGCCATTAAAATAGAAGCAGTCGGTGGTTGTGACAGTTCGATATGAAAATCAATAAACCGCAGGACTGGCACTCGTAACTCTACTTACAACTTTCGAACTTGGCCCCAATCAGTCTTGAATAGTCAATGAAAATCCCCAATGCGTCACAGGTAGTAAGGGGGCTATCTTAATTGTTTGTCGATAAGGTAGTTATTATCAAACTATTACCACCGCTTATCTAATCTGTCTGCGGTCTAGCCGAGAAAGGTAAGTTATATATCTGATATCGTAACATTTGCAAAGTAAATCTGCTAAGCGAAATTACCATGAATCTCCTGGTAGAGTCTTTAATAATATGATATCACCAGGAGAGTATCTTTGTATCATATCTATATTGTTAGACACACTCATAAAAATTAATTTCTAAATTTTGGAAATCTCGCCATTGAATCGGCCTACCTTTGAAAATAGAAAAAAAAATTCTTGTTATTAGAAAATTGGCCTTTGAATACAGAAAACCTTTCTTGATGGAAAAAATTCAAGAAAGAATTTTTCTTAAAAATAGAAAAATGAAAATCTCATATGTTTGTTTTGTCGTCGCAGCCAAAACATTTTTGTACGTGTTTAAGGACAAAATCACCTTTGAATATATGAATGAAATGACCCTAGAATATAGGAAAGTAGCCATTGACTTCCTTCGGCTGCCGAATGTTAACGACAAGAAAAACGACTACTACCCGACTACCGACTTCTCAGATCCCCCGAGTGTCAGTTGTGAAAAAAATTCGTGAGTGATGGACGTGATTTTCAAGCGGATAAGAGGTGAAGCCTTTTTCCGAATATTCAAAGGTATGTAAATATGTATATAATTTTTTGTATAGCGGGCGTACAATTGTATGTATGTAATTAAAGGATACATTTCAAATCTCTTTACCAAGCGAATACCAATTTAGGTGAATTGTTTTTTAGCTAAGAGCTACGTACATACATACATTTGTACATAAATTTGTGGGTGTACAGTTCTATATTAACTTTATCTTATTACTCGCATTTTACTTATTTTTCAGAGTGAAAATACCTGCAGTTGCATCAGCCAAATAATTTGTTTGTCGAAGCTGTAATTTTGTTTTAAAACCTTCTAAGGTAAGAAAAATATGTTGTATTTGTTTGACATACTTATGTATGCATGTAAATATCTATGCATGTACGCGGCTCACCCGATCTGAAACCCGATTTTCAACCCTTTCATATTCTGCTCCTCTCTCTCGCTCGCTTGACCTACGCGTCGCGACGTTTCTCTCTTCTCCTTCTTAAAACTGACACGATCTGCCCTGCTTACATTCGGTCTCCCTTCGCGCAAAGGACTGTATGTAAATATATATGTATGTATGTACGTGTCTCTCCCGTGCCTCTCTCTCTCTGAAATTCGATTTTCAACCCTTCATTTTCTACCTGTCTTGCTCCTCTCTCTCGGTCGTCTGTCCAACGTGTTTGTATTTTGGCTATTATTAACATTACATTATTTCAAAAAAGTTGTTTATCTAAAAACAAATCATTGATATCCCAATAACTCTTTTTTTATAGATGAGGAAAGGCGAAGAAAATGGATCACCTTAGGTCATATGAAGTTCAACAGACCTTGGGTAATAATAATGTTTTCTTGAGTCAAAAATGTGTTATTTAAAAATGTTTAAATGTTAAGTGTTAAATGTTTTAAATGTAAATAAATATATTATGCAAAAGAAAAAACTAAGTTACATTTTATTTTTAGGGTTTCAGTGTTAATATAAAACTTCCTTTCAAGAAATATTATATCTTAATTCAAGAAATAAAATTTCTTGAAAGGAAATTTAAACAAGAAAGAATTTTTCTTGTTTAAAAGGTGCCTTTCTAAAAAACCCTTTCTTGTTTTAAGAAATTTAATTTCTTGAAACAAGAAACAAACCACCTTTGAAACAAGAATCGCCTTTCTTGTTTTAAGAAATATTTTTTCTTGTTTTTATGGTGGCTTCCTAAAAAACCCTTTCTTGTTTTAAGAAATTTAATTTCTTAAAACAAGAAATATTTTTCTTGTTTTAATGGTGCCTTTCAAAAAAACCATTTCTTGAAACAAAGGTGAGGTCGCCTTTGGCAAAAATTCAAGAAAGAATTTTCTAGATTTTAAGGAAATTCTTCGATTTTTTTTTATGAGTGCATGTATATCTATCCGAAGCCTTCTGATATTATTTCATTTTGGATATACTTTTAATAGCTTTCAAGGCAACGACCTAACCAAAAAAATGTATTGACATTTCCCTTATCTTTTTTGATACTTGACTTCCATTATTCTTATGATTAAAAATCGTTTTACTTTAAAACAATTAGTACTTATTCGACACTTATCTAATCTGAGTCGCGAAGGTGAAGAAACACCTTAAGTCGCAATTCAGTAAGGTTAAACCCAAAACCAATCAAAATTGTGTCTACTTCGTGGGCTATTTATAAAATGAAAAAAAATTGTATTGAACAAGATTTAATTTTTAAATAAGGATCGAAAACAAAGGCTGCATACAATTAGATTTTATTTGTTGTAAAACAAACCCCTTTCGATAATACTTTGTTGCTTTATTTGCAAACCCCTCGGCTGATAAGACAGCAACTAAATTCTGCGTATTTCCACTTATCATTTAATTATAAACACTACAAATTTACTGCCCCATAAATGCTAGAAATTTATTATTTCTATTTTTGAGTAGATAGCACCACACTACTGATAGCGTAACAAAATCTTTTAATTAGAAGAGTTTGACCAAATATTTAGCCCGTTAATAAATGGTAATTAGTGCAATTCGTTGATAAAATTTAATCGCTTTCAGGGGAAAGTGTTTATCAGAGTGTCTACTGGGAACCGGAAAGAATCGCCACGAGTTTATATGCACAATGGAATTTTTTTGGGGGGCTAAATCCGACAATGTCCTATCGTGTTTTTTGGCTTATCATAAAGCAGAACCGACGTACACAAGTCTAAACGCTAGTGAGCGAATTTGTGTTTCTATTTGAAACCGCAGCGTGACGTGCAGTGTATTGATAAGAGATTACCCCTTTTGTTTTTGTTTTTTTTTTCAAGAGTGAAAGTGTGGCTTATCTGTGCGAAGGATGAATCACTGACAGTGCATTGGTTAGTTGCCCTTAATAATTTGACTAGAATATGTGCAATTTCATTTGGAATTTCTTTAATTATCGCGAACCGTTTCTTATCGGATTCCACTTCCCTTTGGGGAATAAACATTCGTAGAAATATTTACTCTATATAAAGAACCATACTTAATTTTTTAAAGCAAAATTAATATTGGATGTTCTTTGTATGGTATTTCTGTAATTATTTTTTAAACTGCCAAATCAATTTACTTTCTCCATAGATTTTTTGCTAGTTCCCATACCTCGATAGGCATATAATTGTTCAATTTAGAAAACGTCGACTCTAATTGTTCTACATGTTTCAGCAGTTGCCTGTTTATAGTGCCTTGTAATTGTGTGCGAAATTACCAAAGAGCCGTGAAATTTGACAAGAGCGCGTAATTTGATGAAGTGTAACTCGAATTCAGCAGAAAAAGTCTGAGGCTCTGAGAGGCAGCAAGTTGGTGAGCGGAAGTGGGTCCAAACTTCCAATCCGGCTGGCGGTCGGTTATGTTTTTTTTTTTCGTGGCCCCACTTCGACTCTGCTAATAAGTACAATGAACCGCAGATAATCGCCGGTTAGGCGGCAAACGGGTTTTCGGGCGTCTCGAAACTATCTTCATCTCAAACTGCCCCGCTATCAATCAGAGCCAGGAAGATTCAACTGGACACTGGATCGTGCTAATGAAAGTCAGTCCTCAGGCCAAAAATATCCACGAATAGCACTCTTCGTCCACAAGTTTAATGTTTGAATTGCAAACAACTTTGTCCTAGAAATTTAAATTTATTTGCCAAAAACTTGTGTAAATTGGATTCGCTTAAATATTTGAATGTGACCAACAAATTAAAGCACGTAAATATGAATCATGGATTTGCATGAAAATAAATAATAGCGACAAGGGAAAAAATAATCACCTGACTTTATTTTCTATCTTTCTAAAGCACTTTAGAAGCAAATTAAAATGTTTTTTTTTTGTTTTAAGATAGGTACATACTTCTTAACAATATTCTCACTAAACACATAAAACAGAAAAAGAATCTTTTGATAAAAGTATTACAAACTTCTCTGAATGGAGACCATATATTTATTAATCCACATTATTTTTAACTTTAATTGTATACGATATTTTCTGGAATTTAAAAGCTTAATGAGTTACTTCTGATAATGGCTCTAATTCTACAAAATGGAATTTCACGATAAACTTTTTTGAAACGTTCGCTTTAAATAATCAGCAATTTTCTTGTTTCAATGGGCGTGTGTAACCGATAAGAAAATAGTTTTTTACAAAAACCATGCCTTTTTTATGGAACTTCAAATGCTTAATATTGAGACCCAGGAATTTTGTGTTATATGGGTTGCAGAAGGAGCGAAAAACATAGATTTTGTATGAGAAGACCGTTAATACGATTATAAAATGGATGAATAGTGCGTTAATGGTGAGATACCAGGAAGATCGATCTGTAGGTTGGATGGCCGTTAATGAAACCTCCACGCGAGTTCAGTGGTGGTGCAATGTCCGGCCGTGGAATTTGGAAATGTGCGCTCGACGGTTGCTTAAGCAAACATAAATGTGTGTTAATAAAATAACAAAAAACCTAGGCAACGACGCAGCGTCATCGTTGCGTCGCCGAGTCTTTTTCCCCCCGAAATCTTTGAAATCTTCAAGCAGACTTATTATAAACTTACCTCCCAGCGTGGTTTTAGCTGCGTCTCCCTTCCTCTTGCGCTGGAATCCGAGATGGGGCTATTGTTGGACCAGGGTCAAGCATAATTACTTGCCTGCCTGCTTATTTTTAGTGTTTGTTTAACGTTAATAAATTCGCCTTTTGTTGACAATTAACAATGATGAATTGCTGTTGTTGTTATCCTAGTGCCAGTGGTTGTTGTTGTTGTCTTTGGACCCTAGGCGCCACCACGAATTACGTGTGTGTGTGCGTGTGCCTTGGGGAGTTTCTTATTTTCTGGTCTCTAGTTCTCCGAGTATATCGACTTAATCGTTTTTAATAACGCCAACCCGTTTCATTAGTCATGCGGACCATGTTTTATAAATAAATGAGCATTAACACCTTGGCAAACCGAGCGATTTGTTGTTGCTGGCGGAGGAGCACTGATTTCGCGTTGCCCCTCGATTTTTTTAGGGGGCTGCTTTTGCAATCTGCGGAAGTAACGCAGTTTTACGACACTTTTGAGGCTTTGCACAATGCGCTGCGCTGCAGCGGCCGCTCGAATTCCAATTTTATTCCCCTTTTTTGTGGGAGACCCCGTTACTCCCACTGCTTCCAAACCGATTTTGCCTAGCGATGTGAAAAAACATGGAAATATCAGTGTATCAGTGATTTTTGGAATAAAAATAAATCGGCCGCGATTTTCTAGCAGAAATGTTAAGAGGCAAAGTGTCATCGCTACTGTTAACAGACATAACATTTAACAACACTATGCTCGCTAAAATCTGTTAAAAATATCTGCGAAAAATATACGAAAATATTAATATATCGGAATTTTTTGAATAAAAATAAATATTTATTACTTTACTTTTACACCCTTACTCCAAACCGATTTTGCAATTTTGCTCGCGGTTGGCAGTTAGATATGGTGAAACTTTTTTCCCATAAAAAGTTAAGCCTTGCAAAGGCTCGGAACTCAGAAAATTATCTCATAGTAAAAGTAAGGGAATGACCACTACACTTGCCTAGATGGAACTCCCGTTCTTGGACAATTTGCTAAGAACAATAAACAACTAATTTGCTACTAAACAACATTCCTCATGCTAGCATTCAAATTTCAGTTAGTTTTGAGGTGTAATTTTATAATTTTCAGGACAAATAAATTTAAACAGCGGTTTCTTTATGTGAGCACGATTTCGCTTAAAATTGCAACAGCGATTTAAGCAGCTGTGTGCAGAGGCTTTATGTTAAAATAAATGTTAAAATAGAAAAAGGTTGGTGTCTCCGCTACTGCTAACAGCTGTTTGTGTAGCACCAGAAAAATGCGGGTTCCTTGATAAGAGCAAAGTTCATATTAATTGCAAACTAATAGGGATGTCGAAATATTTAAAAATATCGTATCGATGATATTTTTTATTTAAACAAAAAATCAAAATGATATTTGATATATCAGAAAAAAAATATCTATATATCAGATATTTTTGATATTTTTGATTTATTATTTTTTTTTTTTAATTTTAAGCTGCATAAGCAATAACCACCAAACATTAACCCCCATACGATCTTAAATTATATTTTTATAATTTTTAGTTTATATATTTTAATAAATGAAAGAAAACAATATTTATTTTGGCTTTCTTTTGCTTTTATTTATAATATTAAAGTCAATTATTTCCAGCGCTTTTTTTTTTCTTGAATTCTGAATGCTATGCTATGCATTTTCACTTGCCGAAAAATAAATTTTAGCGGCGCTCATCTTTCACATATGTATTTTTTCTTGTCCCGATGAAAAGTGAGACCACTTAAAATTATCAAAAAAATGTGAAAAAAAATCGATGATATATGATAATTATTGAAAAAAAATATCACGATAAAAATATTTATTTTTTCGTAAAAAATATCGATATATTGATATTTTGATATATTTTCGACATCCCTACAAACTAAGGATCATTAAATAATTGAAATAAAAACACTCACTTCTATTTCGGCAGCAAGCACGACCGGTTGTTTTCTGCTTCGTTTCAGTGAAAAACTTTTTGAGTATCAAAGGCTCTGTGAAAAAGTGTGTGAAATAAAGTAGAAAACTGTTTAGAAGCTTTCTTTTTGTGGAATAAAAAAGGAAAATTACTTCCAAGTGGTGTTCTGGTGAGTTTTTGGCAGGCTGGTAAAACCAGCGACTAACATGGCGGACGCCGGTAAAACGGTGTCGGCCAAAATAAAACCCCCTGATCTTAATATATACAGCAAAAAAATTGTGAAGAGAAACCTTGACCAGCAACCATCATCCAGTTTTTTGAAAGGATGTGCGTCTGAGAAGATTAGTGCAAAAAAAATGTGCAGGGGCAAAACTGAGTATGCAGGTGTTAGTGCGAATCAGATGGACACAAGCGAAGACCAAATTAAAAACATGGCCGCCAAGTCAGGAAGCGAAGAGAGTGGAAACATAAAGAGTAAAAATGGGGCTGCAGCTGACTGTAGTCAAAATACCCAGGATGTCACCAAAAAAAACTATAGCACACTTTCAAGTTCCAATACATTAACCAATAGTGATTTCAATACAACAAAAGTTGAGGAAAAGCGTCTATCTTGTTTATATGGATCAAATCATGTTGGTGTTGCTGCAGTTTTAGTTTCAACCAAGGAGTGTCAGCTTTTTGAAAATAAAAGAATTAAAAGTGGACTTTTTCTGTATGAAAAAATTAGGCATATGCAGTTAAATGGTTTCAAGGAAATCATCCCGCTGGCAGCTTCTTTATACAAAATATACTTTCATAATGCTCGAGATGCCAACTCCCTAGTCCTGAATGCCGAGTTAAAGAAGATGAAGATAAATGCTTTTATTCCACGAAACTTTGTAGAGTCTCTAGGAGTTATTAGGGGTATTCCCACAAATTTCTCAGAGCAAGAAATTTTTGAGAATTTAAATTCTGCAGTCAAGGTTATCCGTGTTGAGCGCATGATGAGGCGTCAGGAAAGCACAAATGGAGCTGAGGGTATGAAGTATAACTTGATACCAACTGAGACCGTTAAGGTTAGCTTCGACGGAGCTGATTTACCGGAGAAAGTTGTTCTGTTCGAAATATGCTCTTTGAAAGTGGACCACTACATACCGAAAGTGCGTCAGTGTTTTAAGTGTGGTAGACTGGGTCACACTGCTTTTACATGCAAGTCATTAGAACGTTGTAGGAAATGTGGTGAGAAGGAATGTAGTGGTACCTGCTCGGTGCTCAAATGCATTCTGTGCAACGCCAAAAACCATAGTGCCAGGGATAGTCAAATATGTCCGGTGTGGGCGAAGGAGCAGGACATAAACAAAATCATGACAATCAAGAAGATAGCTAGGAAGGAGGTGTTAAGTTCTTACTCAGTGTCTCAGAATTATGCTCTCATGGAAAATTATGACGATAACTTTCCTCCCCTAAACAAACAGGGAAGTCAGACACAGAACAAGGACCTCAAGGTAAATGCAGTTTTAAAAAAACACAGCTATGTCAGCAGATTGGTGGAAAAACCTATAGTTCCTGTTCAGAAACCTAACTTTCACTTGGAGCCGTATACAAACGACACAAGTGACCATGTTCCTTTCTTTCCTAGTTTATCTACTGAGGACAAAATTCATCACATCATTAAGCTGCTATCCCAAATTAGCAACACTAATGAAATTATAGATCTGATCAAAGCTACGCAAAATATTAATCAAAACAGTGTAAGAGAAGGAACACAATCTGTTACTAATATTGACAGAATTGCCGGTAACGAAACACAATGAGTATAAAAATTCTACAGTATAACATACAATCCCTAAAAAACAATAAAAATGATCTCGAATTTTTTCTAAATAATGAGAAGTGTGATATTGCCATCCTATCGGAGGTTTTCTCGCACGACTTATCATATAGAAACATAATTAATTTCAACTTGATTGAAAAGTACAGAGATGATGGCTACGGAGGAGTAGCAATAGCTTACAAAAATAGCCTTAAATTAAAGAAATTTAAATACAACTCCAACTGTGACATTGTCATTGCAAGTGCTTCTAACAAAGGGTTAAATATGCTTATAACATCGGTGTATTTTCAACCCAGCATTTCTCTCAACAACTTCAAAGATGAAGTAAATAATCTAATAGAAAAACTTGACTCTTTTGACAAAGTTATTATATCTGGTGACTTCAATGCGAGATGTAGTGATTTTGGAGACAGTGTAAGTAATAGGAAGGGTGTTTTTTTAAAAAGAGTAATGTCAAGTGCTGGATACAGACTTGAAAACAACAACAGTTCAACGTTTAAAAGAAACATTGACTCAGTCTCGGGATCAGTGCTAGATTTGACATTCACCAAAGGTATTCAATGCACCGAATGGACATGTAAAAGCTTTTTCATTGGTGGTAGCCGACATTTTCCAATTGTCTACAAAATAAATGCTGAGCTGAACCTACCCATCAAGTTTCTTGCAAAAAAAAGATTATTCAACAAATTAGAAAAGATAAAGACATGTGGTAGTATATCAAATCTCACCAAAAACATAACGAGTGAAATCAAGGCAGCCTCATATTGTTTTGGAGCAAACAAAACTCCAAAGGCTTGGTGGAATGATGAACTAAAACAACTCTTCAAAGATTTTTCTGATAGTCAGAGCAAAGCATGTCGTGATCCGTCGTATGAAAACTATGTTAATGCAGTAAATCTCAAAATCAAATGGAAGAAATCAGTTAAAATAGCAAAGAAAACTAGTTTTTTAAAAAAGATTATTGAATTAAACACCCAACCAAACACGAAAAATGCGTGGAGGTTTTTAAAAAACTTAAAAAACTGTCAGGAAGAAAAGTTAGATAGGTTTGATCTGGACAAATCAAGTGCTTTTTTGGATTTCTTAATTGAGCAAATACCTCCTGAAAATAGAGCTGTAGATGAGAATCTTTATTCCAGAAAGAGCAACGAAAATCCGGAATTTGTTCTGGAAGATCTTCAGGAAGTTCTTGATCAAGATAAAAAAACTGCAGGAGGAGCGGATTTAATAACGTACAAAATGATCAAGTCTCTTAGTACAGAAGCCAAGATTGAGTTGGTAGCCTTATACAACAACATGGTTGCAAACTGTGATTTTCCACAGGAATGGAGAATTATCAAAGTTACTCCGATTCCCAAAAGGAACAAAGATTTATCAGACGTCAAAAATTTCAGGCCCATATCGCTTATATCCTGTCTTGCCAAAACAATTAACTGCATGATTAAAAACAGATTAGAGATTTTCATAAAAGAAAAGAAATTACTACCATACAGGTCTTATGCATACCAGAAAGGAAAATCAGCGGCGATGTGCATAAATGATGTGATAAATGTCATTGCCTTAAGGAAGAAGAATAGGTTAAATGTTGTACTAGCAGTTGTCGACCTATCCAATGCATATAATTGTGTAAATCTGAATTTCCTAAAGTTGATTATGGAAAACGATGGATTCCCTAAAGTCTTCACAGACTGGATTCTTAGTTTTCTATCTAATCGTGTTTTGAAATTGGGAAATGCAGTACAGGTGGCAAATGGTGGGGTTCCTCAAGGATCCTGCTTATCTCCAATCTTGTTCAACATATACACAAAGAGATTGCATCAAATAAACGATGAAAACACTCAGATTATGCAGTTTGCGGATGATTTCATGATTATCTCGTCAGGAAAAGCATTTAATAGTGCGGTTGAAAATTTGCAAAACAAGCTCACAGATTTCAATCTACTTTGCAAGGACCTCGGTTTTACTTTTAACCCGAGCAAGTCGGTGGTAATAAATGTCGGTAGAGGAAGCAAAAAAGTAGTGAACGTAGCAGTGGAAAATGTGGCTGTGCCAAATCTCAAAAATGTTTGTTTTCTTGGTAGAATTATATCTGGAAACATGTCGCATAAAGAGCATGTCAAAAAGATTAAAGCCGATACCAAATCTAGTTCAAAAATTCTGCACTATGCAACTACTATCAAGTCTGGGTTGAAACCAAAAATTAGTGTAAATCTTTTTAAATCTTTTGTAAGAAGCAAGCAGGAATACGCCATAACCAGCATTGCTGACATGGGTAGTGGAGTGAACAAGAGCTTAGAGATTGCTCAGGCTGGAGCCTTGAGAAGATGCGTAGGTGTGCCTCCGGGGACAAGCAAGCATGAAATTTTTGTGCTTGCCGGTGTAATGCCACCGATTTTCAGAGCTAAATTCCTTACTGCTAAAGAATTGTTTAAAGTGAAAACACAAAACCCCTCGCTCTTTGAAACCATTAGGTCATCTTTGGCTGAAACAAGCTACACCAGCACTATACATGAATTTCAGTTCTTTTTTGAAAACACTAGAATTCGAGACCAGTTTCATATATCCAACAAGATCCGAATAAATGAAAAGGTGATTAGCAAGAGCAAAAATGAATATTCAGTTGAGGAACTCTGTGCCTTTTACGGGGAAATAATTGAGAAATACATGAAAAATGGGTGGAACATAATCTCCACAGATGCGTCCATAGGTCCTGCTACAGGTGGCATTGGTGTACTTGAAATGCCTAGCCGTGCGACTCACAAATTTAAATTTGATGCGCCTCTCTCTTCAGTAAGTGCCGAGCTTGCTGGGATCAAAATAGCATGTGAGATTTTGAACAGATCCAAGTACAAAAATGTAGTTATAATTTGTGATTGCCTGGGTGCCATTAGCTTAATAAAAAACAAAAAGTCTGAGGCGTACATGGTACAAGAAATACATAGGTTAATTGAAGATTCGGAGGTGGAAATTGTAGAGTTAGTTTGGGTACCTGGCCACAAAGGCATTAACATAAACGAACAGACTGATAGTATTGCCAAAATAGCTGTAAACGAAGGGGAAGAAATAGACATAAGTCTCAATATTAAAGATGCCTTAAGAGAGATTAAAAAAATCCTACAGTACAAGTGGAATGAGGAATATAAAAACAAATGCATGATCAAAGGATCAAATCTTTTAAAGGTCTTCCCAAATATTCCCAAAAAACCCTGGCACCATTTCTTAAAATGGAATGCCAAAAGCATTAAAGTATTAAACAGACTTATGGTAGACTCGACATATGACAAGGTATTTCTTCACAAAATAAAAGCTGTTGATACTAACCTATGTGACCTGTGTAATGTTCCGGAATATGCCGAGCATTCAATTTTTAACTGCCAAAAACTAATCAGCATCCGTAGAAAATTCAAAATTTTCAAGTATTATAAAGATCTTAACGAATTACTAACCAAAAAAGAACCGCTTCATTTAAGGGAGCTGGCAAAATTTATTAATACAGCTAATCTAAACTTTTAAGTCTACCTCTTATTTAACCATTTCTAATTGTGTAGTTTTTTATGGCGTTTGGCCAATAAACATTCCTGCCAAGCTCACTGCCAAGAAGTCTTTATAAAACCACCTTCTGTGGTTTTAAATCTGAGCCAATCAGAGTGACGTATGAGCACATATACGATCACATCCTGGAGCTCCTTGCAAACCACAGCCTGTGGTCTTGCTACAATAACGTCAATTGAAATCTCTGGACAACCCACACATCGCTCTGTCGCACATAACATTCGAGAGAAAAAACTCTGAATTCAAAGACATCGAAAACAGCCAACAAAACGATGAACATCGATAGCAATTGAGTTGACGTGGGTGTATCGCGCATGCACCTTCAAACCACGAGCCCCTGGTCTATGCGGCAGTGTTGTTGCGACCAACCATCTGATCATCCATGCGATGATTTAAAACCAAAAAAAAAAAAAAAAAAAATAAAAACACTTAATATTATCCTCCTCAAGTTTATAGCTTTATTGCTTAACTTACGTAAGTACATCCGCTTATCCTATCATTTCTGCAGAGTAATCGTTATAAGCCATTTATTGCCCCCTTAGATTTGGTAAACAGAGACATGGCCCTCATTCCGGCTGTTACCCGACTCACCTCTTCCGTCATCCGGATTCTGGGCTGCAATCCCAGTCCCATGACGCTCCAGGGCACCAACACCTACCTGCTGGGCAGCGGCAGGCGGAGAATCCTGGTCGACACCGGCGACGAGGACGTGCCGCAATACATTGAGCATTTGGGAGACGTGCTGCAGCAGGAAAAGGCCTCCATCGACACTATTTTGCTGACCCACTGGCACCACGACCATGTTGGCGGCGTCAAGAGCATTGTGGGCACCAAGCTGGCCGACAAGGATTGCCGCGTGTTCAAGTTCGGCCGCACGGATGCCCAGGACGTGTGTCCCGAGATCCCGGCGCACATCAAACTCCATCCGCTGGCCCACAACCAGGAGTTCGCCACCGAGGGAGCGAGTGTGCGGGTGGTGCACACGCCGGGACACACCACCGACCATGTGGTGCTAACCATGAGCGAGGGCACGCTCTTCAGCGGCGACTGCATCCTGGGCGAGGGCACCGCCGTCTTCGAGGATTTGTTCGAGTACATGAAGAGTCTGGACAAGATACTGGCCATCAAGCCGCAGCGCATCTTTCCGGGACACGGCAATGTCATCGAGGAGCCGATTGGCAAGATTGAGTACTACATAAGCCATCGCAATCAGCGCGAGCAGCAAATCCTGCAGTTCTTCGTCCAGCGACCTAGTGATAGGTGGCAGGCGATGGACGTGGTGCGCGAGGTGTACAAGGAGACGCCGGAAAACCTCTGGCCCGCCGCCGCCTACAATGTGAATCACCACCTCAGCAAGTTGGCGAAGGAAGGGAAGCTGCGGATGTCCAAGTCGGAGGATGAAGAGTTCTATGTCTACCAGCCAACCAGTGCGCTCTAGTTTGGGTGACTTTCAGAATTAATTTTTTATGAGCTCATTTATGTAAATAACTATCTCTGTTTGTTGAAAAATGTTTATTACAAAAATAATAATGTTTTAAATAATTTCCCAAGTTTGTATTTACAATTCTGTCTTGGCTAGTTTTTTTTTTCAATTGTACTAATTAAAAATACTGGTAATACATTTCATAATCTTAAATTTTATAAATATTTTTTATAATATTATGAAAACGCAAGCAGAATATTCGTTTCTGTGCATTATCTGAGCGATATGGTTCCGAGTTCGGGAAATTTGAATTTATTTAATTTAAAAGTAGTTAATTGTTTTAACAAATATACAGATATTGATTTATATTTTCAACTGTTTGTTAACAAATGTTTATTACAAAAATAACTATGTTTCCAATAATTTCTTAAGTTCTTAAGTTTACAATTCCGTCTTGGCAATTATTATACCCGTTACTCGTAGAGTAAAAGGGTATACTAGATTCGTGCAAAAGTATGTAACAGCTAGAAGGAAGCGTTTCCGACCCCATAAAGTATATATATTCTTGATCAGGGTAACTAGTCGAGTCGATCTAGCCATGTCCGTCTGTCCGTCTGTCCGTCTGTCCGTCTGTCCGTCTGTATGAACGCTGAGATCTCAGAAACTACAAAAGCTAGAAGGTTGAGATTTCCCACACATATTCTTTGGCTTCCTACGCAGCGCAAGTTTATTTTAGCCGAGCGCCACGCCCCCTCTAACGCCCACAATCGCCCACTAACGATTTTAAAATGGGTCCTGCGCCCACATCTTTAAAGATTTCCGAGAAGTATAAATGCAATTTTGTTGTGTATATTTATACCTATCGAAATGTAGAAGACATTTTTCAAATCGGACAATTCATTAAAAAGTTATACGCTTTATAAATTGTCAACATATATCTATCTCCCTCGCACTCCCTTTAGCTGAGTTACGATTATTAGTCGGGACACCAACCCGACACAGCGTTCGCACTCCCTTTAGCTGAGTGACGGGTATTAGATAGTCGGGACACCAACCCGACTATAGCGTTCTCTCTTGTTTTTCAACTGTACTAATTAAAATTACTGGTTATACCTTTCATAATCTTAAATTTAATAAACATTTTTTTATAATATTATGAACATGCAAGCAGAATACCCGATAGGATCTGTGGATCTTCCCGCGTTCATTCAAATTTGAATTAATTAAATTTAAAAGTAATAAATGGTTTTTACAAATATACAGATATAGATTTATATTAACAACCGTCAAACAAGACATTTAGCCTGCCAAGCATTTACACTTTAACACACTTAATGGTATCGTCCAGCAACATCTTCCACAGCTCAAACTGTTCGTTATTCCGCACCATGTGGATGCTGATTCTGTCGCGGATGTGACAGGCCTCGAACTTGGTGCGGGTGTTGGCGATCTCGCGAACGTTTATCCGTCGAATGTCCAGACTTCCGGCCACGATGCCCGTCGTAAAGACGTCCTCCAGCTTTAGGAAGGCTGTGTCTAGGGATTTTTCAAACAGGGCGTGAACTACGTCTCCGGTGATGAGGTAGGCGGGTCCAGTGGTGAAGTAGGGAAAGGTGGCCTTCCCGTACTGAGCGAAGGATATGTGATATTTGGACCACTTGTTTCGAACGGGCTTCCAATTCTCAGCCCGCCGCCCGTAGATCGTTCGATTGGCCTTGAGCGTCGTGGCCATAAGGGTCATCAGCTTGGGCACATTGATGAACATGTCGTCGTCCGTTTTGAGAAGGTACTTGGCCTTCGGACAGTGCAGATCCGCCCACTCCAGCGTGGATATCGTCTTGAGGGTGAGGTTGTTGTACGAGTCTATGAAGTGGCCCCTTATCAAATCCCGGTACATGAACTCCTCTCGTTCGAGGGCCTCGTTGAGAGTCTTGTTGGTGCTTCGACCCAGGATGAATGCCATGCCCACGTCTCTCCTGCTACCGTAAAACATCCACGTCTGCCGGATGGACATCCTGGCCGCTTCGTGATGGACAGCTGAGGTGATCAGTACCAACAGCTTTGTGAGTAACCCTCCTAGGGGACATATCCTTTCCATATCAATGCCATTGTCCACATGACCGGGCTCGTAGATCGTTCGTACCAGGGGCATTCGGACGGGAACTTCGGTTTCTATGGATAGTAATTCCATTGATTTGCGCCCCAAGATATGTTTCGAATCTTGTAGCACTCCCAAAAACTCCTTTTTGTCGCTATCTACGAGAAAAAAGATTTAAAAATATATTAAAAAATGTCTAGAATATATATAGAAATTAATGGAATTCTCACTCTCTCCCTGATTCTCCCCGATTCTCCTGCTTCTGATAATGGCTATGGCATCTTTGGCTTTCATATTTTGACTATTAGAAAAGAGCATATTGCTCTGGCTGCCACTGCTGTTTCCTGAAAAAAATAGGATTTTAGGATTTGTTGATATTTTAAAACGAAAAACCAAACCCACCGTGTGCGTCTTCAATAGTTTCTCCAAAAGCCCGGAGCATTTCCCTCTTTGTTCCAGAATCCTTGGATATTATACCACTTAAGAATAAATTGCCTGAATCCGGTTCCAATGTCTTAAGGTAGTCAACTTTTGCCATTGTCCTTGATTTCGAAAAGTACGAGAAGACTGTAAAGCTGATGAGGATTATGATAAGGATGCAGCGCAGAAGTCGGCCCACCATGGCTATAAGCTTGGTCTTATTTGCCTGGAATTTTTCCGCTCTACAAGGTCGGTTTGACAAAATACCCAGAAAGTCATGTTTAGCAATAAAAGTTAAGCACACTTGACCAGTTACTTTCAAGTCCTGGCGTATTTATATGGATCAATTCGGAGTATTATGATTTTTAGGACTACAATCATCGGATTTATGAGACCTTTGGGTTTTTGCCCAAGTCCTGGATAGCAAACTCCGGGCTTGGCATTATCTTTATTTGCCGATGTCCTGCGACCCACATATTTTCTCAGCAACTCCTGTTCTGCTAACGGTGATTTTTGTCCACTGTTAATGAAAGTTCTACTTATGTTAGCTAATAGGGGCCGACCGCGTTGCCAACCATTGTCAACCAGTGTAGCCAACTCTTTCTTCAACAATGTAGCTAAAGAGAATTATAAAAAAAGCTAAAAATAATTCCCATGAATAAAATTTTATTTTCTAACAAAGCAAAAAAATAAACATTGAAAGGCTCATTTATTCGACTTTCGTCACGATTGACGTGTTATATTCCGTCCTTCTACTTCCTACTTACTACAAAGTCAGTTTAAAACGCTATATAGGACCGTTAGAAAAGAAATCTTTCTAGATGGACTGAAGACCTGAGTCGCTAGTGCACCTAGTTTTTAATTTTAATTTAAAGGGAGCTAAAAAAAATATAAAATTAATTACAGTATCTAAATTGGCCGTTTTTACAAAGTTACAGCTTACGCGGTCTGAAAATAGCCAGGACCAGCTACATAATAGCTGAATTGGCAACACTGTTAGCAACACTGCACTGTGTACGTCAGCTGTCAAAACGAATCACAAATTTTTCACGGCTTTTATTGTGCGCTGCGTTATTATTGCATTTTCCCGAGTCCAAGGCGGTTGCGTAGCATATGCGTGGATCGGTCGTGGTAATTAAATGTGGCACGCATCCGGTGCAGTGAGTGTCAAGTGACCAGTTAGCCAGTACAACCGATAGCCATGTCGTTCGTGGGCGGGGGCGGGTGCGGTGGCCAGGATGTGCACAAGTTTGTGGAGGCGCTGCAGGCGGATTTCAAGACCCTCTCGCTGGAGACCAAGAAGAAGTATCCTCAGATCAAGGAGGTGAGTCCTGCTGACGTGTGGTTCACGGCCGTGGTTGTCTAATTGCGCCACTTATCCGCCGACACACGAGTGTGTGTCACCCACCCACTTTGCTGTTGGGTGGTGGGAGGTCGTTGGGCGGGGGGTGGTTTGCTCTGGTTCCACCTGTGCTTGCCCTACGCAATTATGAAATTGATAGCCAGCGCAAATGAAATTGATTTTATGACATTTCCACTTGTCCATTAATTCTCCAACGTTTCCAATTCCCCAATCAGGCGTGCGAGGAGGCCATTTCCAAGCTCTGCACCGCCGGCAGCAGCCAGCAAAACTCGGTGTACTACACCGTCAACCAGATACTCTATCCACTGGTGCAGGGATGCGAGACCAAGGACCTGAAGATCATCAAGGTAAGAGGTCATCCCATCAGTCGAATATATCTCTGACTAATTCCCAACTAATTTCAGTTCTGCCTGGGCATGATGCAGCGGCTCATCACCCAGCAGGTGGTGGACCAGAAGGGCGCCCTCTACATCACCAACGCCCTGTGGACCCTCATGGAGAACAACATCGAGGAGGTGAAGGTGCTGCAAACGGTGACCCTTCTACTGACCACCAACACGGTGGTGCACGGCGACACCTTGGCCAAAGCCCTGGTTCTCTGCTTCCGCCTGCACTACACCAAGAACCCCACGATTGTGAATACGGCCGGGGCCACCATTCGGCAGCTGGTGTCGCTGGTATTCGAGCGAGTCTACCTGGAGAAGGATTCGGTTTCCAGTCTCCAGCAGCAGCAGCAGCAACAACAGCCAGGTGGTTCGCCATCGGAGGGCGAGGGAGGTGCAGGTCAGGACGTGCAGACCTTCGCCTCGGATGCGTTCCTCCTGTTCCAGGATCTCGTGCAGCTGGTGAATGCCGAGCAGCCGTTTTGGCTGGTGGGCATGACCGAGATGACGCGCACCTTTGGCCTGGAGCTTCTCGAGGCCGTGCTGACCAACTTCAGTGCCGTTTTTCACGAGGTATGTTTGCACATGTTCAGACCGGTATCGATTATCTCGTTTATTTTTCTTGGGTTTCCTATAAAACACACACCTTTTTCTGTGTACTTAGCGATAAGATCATAAATAGCTTTAGCAAAGAACTTGATTTTTAAGAAAGTTGATTAACACAAATTTCTATTGTCTTTAAAATATAGTTAAATTATGAATGATAAACACTATTAGAAGTTCGTCCGAAATATTTTTAGTAAATCAATTTAATTTTAGATGCTAAATAACTAAAGATTTGAACTATTAAAGCTACAACAACCAATCCATAAATTTTAAAAGATTATAAAATACATACATATCTCGATTTCCAATAAAACTAAGTAATGTACACACCTTTTTTTGTGTACTTTGCGATAGGAACATAAATAGCTTTAACAAAGAACTTTATTTTTAAGAAAGTTAATTAAAAAATTTTAATTTTCTTCGAAATTTATTTAAAAATATGAATAATAGGCAATAGTAGAATTTCGTCCCAAATATTTTTATTAAATTATTTGTATCATAATTATTTTAACATACTAAATTTAACATTTAACATTTTTAAAATATAATAATAAACATACATATATATCCTTTTTCCCATCAGAGCAACGACTTCCGATTGCTGCTTAAGGAACGCGTGTGCGCCTTGGTCATCAAGCTCTTTTCGCCGAACGTCAAGCACCGCCAGCTTCCGGCTCCAAGCAATGGAAACGCTCCTGTGCCGGCCGAGAAACCCTATTTCCCCATCAGCATGCGATTGCTGCGCCTGGTGGCCATTCTCATACAGAAATACCACACCATATTGGTAACCGAGTGCGAGATCTTCTTGTCGCTGATTATCAAGTTCTTGGATCCGGATAAGCCGGCCTGGCAGCGAGCCCTGGCCCTGGAGGTCATCCACAAGCTGGTCACGCGCTCCTCACTGATTGCTTTCTTCTGCAAGTCGTACGATCTGAAGAACCATGCCACCAACATTGTGCACGACATGATTGCCGCCATGGGCAGCTATGTGCGATACTCCCTGATCAATGCCTCGGCCATGCTAAATGGTCAGCAAAACGGAATGGCCAATTCGCTGACAGCCTTGTCGGGAAATAATCAGTGCGGCTTCATGTTCCGCGGAGCCTACCTCCCTTTGGTGGCTACCTATGCCCCCGGAGTGTCCAAGGCAGTTTAGTAAGTGGAAGCAAGCTACTTTTCCCTTGTAACCATATTAATTTAAATATTACTTTCCCTGCAGCTTGGAAATGCTGGATAAGCTAGATGCTCCGAACATTCCCGACAGCTATGGCATTTCGGTGGGACATGCCATACTCCTGGACATGACACGTTCCATTGGAGGCGTCATTCAGCGCACCCCGGAACTTCATCCCAGCCACAATACGGCTGTAATCACTGAGGAGGAGCACAAGCCTCTGTGCCTGCAGCTGGTCAACTCCAGCTGGTCTGGCCTCCTCAGCGCCTTTATTCCGCTGGTGGAGACGTCCATAGACGAAGCCACCACCGAGAACATCCTCAAGGCCATGCAAAACTATGCAGCTCTTTGCGGAATGCTGGAGCAGCTGCAGCCCAGAGACGCCTTCATCATGGCCATTTGTCGTGCCTCCTTTCCGCCCCACTATGCCATGTCCATATTTGCCAACACCACGCAGCCGGATGGTGAATTAAGATGTGATTATATCATTTTAATATCTACAATAATTTATTAATAAAATAATTTGATTTTGCATTTCACAGGTCACACCCGCAGTGGTAGTCAGGATCTGAGCAGCCAGTTCATAAACAATTGCAGCGAGGCAGGAGACTTCCGGCCGCAGATCGTAGCCGTGGGCACGCCCCTGCCGTCCGCCTCGTTGCCACACAGTGTTATGCAGGCGCCGGTGATGTTGACCAACAAGAATCTGCAGTGCATGCGAGCGATTCTCTTTCTGGCGCACAACAACGGTGGAATTCTGGGCACCTCGTGGCACATGGTGCTGCAAACTCTACAGCACCTTGTGTGGATCCTGGGCTTGAAACCCTCCACGGGAGGCAGTCTGCAGGCCATGCCGAAGCCGGCGGTAGAGGCTAATGTCGGCATTCAAACGGCCGTGATGGCAGATCTTCCGGTTTTGTCACAAATGCTTAGCCAGCTGTTCGAGTCCAGTCAATACCTGGATGATGTGGCGCTGCATCATTTGATCGATGCCCTGTGCAAGCTCTCCCACGAGGCCATGGAGCTGGCCTACGCCAATCGAGAGCCATCTCTTTTTGCGGTAGCTAAATTGCTCGAGACTGGCCTAGTGAACATGCCTCGCATCAAGGTATTGTGGAGACCGCTTACCAATCATCTGCTGGAGGTGTGCCAGCACCGACACATTCGGATGCGCGAGTGGGGTGTGGAGGCCATCACCTACCTGGTTAAGTCCGCCCTTCAGTTCAAGCACAAAACGCCGCTCAAGGAGAACATGGTAAGATCATTAAAAGTATATTCTCTTTTAGCATGATCAGTAGTCTTCGGATTTTGCATATTTGTCAATTTTTGGTCAGATTTTTACCAAAATTTCGAGGTAGGTGTCATATTTTTCAAATGTAATAAATTCGGATGCATATCGGAAATATGCAAAAAATATATGCATATAATATGCAAACTATATGCAAAATATGCAAAATATAGGCGAACAACTGGAGGCTTAAATAAATAGGGTAAAGGAAATAGTGTTCCCTTAAATTTGGGAACAAATTAGATATCTCAGAAATGACGAAAAGGAACAAACAATTTTCTTTGGGTAAATTAGGTTGGCTATGAAATAGTCAATCTTGAATAGTTGAGTTTATTTAATATTTTGAATATTTTGCATATTTTTTGCATATTTTATGCATATGCATTTTATGGAAATATGCAAACAAAATAAAATATGCCATTAATTTTAAACAATATTTTTATTGAAACGAACTTTGGTGTTTTCGGAATTGAACTATCTTTATCCTATAAAAATATGCAAATATGCAAAATCCGAGGTCTAATGATCAGTAACAAGATAGAGATACTTTCCATAACTTTAACTCATTTAATTCATTATTATTATTATATTATCATTAATTCATTTCTTTTCGCCAATAGGAACTACAAACCATGCTTCTGAGTCCCCTATCTGAGTTGTCTACTGTCCTGCACGCAGATGTACGCCAACGACAGCTGGATTGCGTTCTCCAGATCCTTAATACGGCCGGGGAAATTCTCTCATTTGGCTGGCCGGCCATCATTGAGATCATTGGCGCTGTAAACGAGCACCATGGCGAGCCGTTGATCCGCACAGCATTCCAATGCCTTCAGCTGGTTATCACGGACTTCCTGACCGTGATGCCCTGGCGATGTCTGCCCCTGTGCATCAGCACGGCGGCTAAATTTGGTTCCCAGACGCAGGAACTGAATATTTCCCTAACGGCTATTGGTCTAATGGTAAGATTAATTTATTACTTAGATATTACCATGTAACTAAAACTATCTTACTCTGCAGTGGAATATTTCAGATTTCTTTAATCAAAACCAGGACAAGCTCATGTCCACTCAGTTGCAGGATGTGTCCATTCTTCCCGACTTTCCGGGCACGGTGAAAATGCCGCAATTCGACAAGTTGTGGATGTGCTTGTACGCCAAGCTGGGCGAGCTGTGTGTGGATCTGCGTCCGGCGGTGCGTAAATCGGCCGGCCAGACGCTCTTCTCCACCATCTCCGCCCACGGCAGCCTGCTTAATCCGCCCACGTGGCAGGCGCTGGTCTGGCAGGTTCTCTTCCCGCTGCTGGACAACGTGCGCGCCCTGAGCAGCTCGGCCAGCAACGAGAAGGTGGACGCCAGTGGCAACATTCTCATCCATCACTCGCGCAACACCGCCCAGAAGCAGTGGGCAGAGACGCAGGTGCTCACCCTATCGGGAGTCTGCCGGGTGTTCAACACAAAGCGGGAGCTGCTCCAGATGCTAGGTGACTTTGAGAGAGCTTGGTCTTTAATCCTAGAGTTCATTCAGAATGCGGCGTTGAGCAAGAATGGCGAGGTTTCGCTGGCTGCCCTCAAGTCTCTGCAGGAGATCATGTACCACAATAGCACAGAGCGAGCGGAGAGGGCTCTGAAGGATCCCCAGACGGCCCAGGAGCAAGACGAGGAAATCTGGACCGTGAGTAGTTTAGGGATTAAGTCGAGATCTATGCCTTGTTTTTGATAATCTTAATCTTAATACTAAATGGACTCTTTTCGTTCTTTTCCTGAGCAGATTGCCTGGAACATTTGGCTTAGCATTGGCATGGAGAGCACCAAGATGTCCACGTCGACCACAACGAAGCTGCAGCAGCAAAACAGCAATAGCGCCGATAGTCAGGAGGACTTTTACATTCCCAGTCAGGCCTTTCTCACCGCCCTGATCCAAATCTTCCCCGCCATCTTTCAGCACATTCAAGTCAAGTTAGTAGACATGAATAGGGATCGAATGAAAGTGTCAAGTTTCTTAAAGCTTATGAATTCAAAAGATGTTAATCAGATTATGCAAATGGAGTTTAAGAAGATAATATGAATGTTTTGTGGAAGTCAAGTCCAAGCTGAATAATCCAATACATTACGCAAACATTGATTGATTTAATGTTAAATATCTTTCAGATTTAGTGCGGTCGACTTTGATAAATTCTGCACGGTGCTGACAAATGCAGTATGCATTCCTGTCCAGACCGATGCGGTGCCCTACATCATGTCCACGGTGTCGGATACTCTCCTAACGCCGCTCCACGATGGCATTCTGGATTGCATGGAGCTGATACAGAAGGCAAAAAAACTGCATATGAATTCCCCCCATTTATAACTAATTAATTTATGTTTCCTCCATAGGAGGCCACAAAGTCGGAATCCCACATTAGCCAGCTCATTCCAGCCATTTTCCGCCAGCTGCTGATCTTCAGTAAGTTCGCCTGTGCCCCGCCCACATTCCAGCAGAGTGTGGAGCACAAGTATGCCAAGTCATCGGGACATTATGCCAACAACGCCTCCGTTGAGGTGGTCAGCATGAACTACATACCCTTCGGTGAGAAGTCGATCAGTATTTGCGTGAAACTGTACCAGACAACGGCCACCGAGGATCCGGTGGTTCAGGAGCAGATCCTGCACGACATCGTTAAGGCGCTGCGCACGCCGCTGGCCATGAAGTACAAGTGCCTGTCGTCCAGCACTTGGAAGCTGGCCATCTCCAGTCTGATCAGCGTGCTGCACACCGGACTCAAGGTGGCGCGGGCCAAGCCCCAGCATTTCGCCAGCCTGTGGGACGACTTGGCCGACACCCTGGACAAGTTCTTGTTCCCGGCCAGTGTGTGCACTATCGAGGATCGCGGTCTGGAGGAGATCGTGCTTGACGAAACGATCGATTGCCAGGTGATTGAGTTGCTGAGGGACGAGGTGTTGCCTCATGCCCACGAAATGCCGCACCAGTTTATCATGCAGATTGTGGTGCTGCTGAACAAAGGCTCCATTCACTCCGCCTCGGATACAAACATTTGCTACGAGTCGGACTGGAAGCTGCGCGAGATTTTTGCCAAAACGTGCTTCGAGACCCTGTTGCAGTTTTCGCTACTGGAGGATCATGCCAACACCAATAACAATCGCCTCAATGCCAATTTGTTGGCAGCTGGAGCTGCGGGAGCGGGCGGCAAGGACTTTGCTGGCAGGCTGGCGGTTACCGCCCTGCTGCATCGCTTTCAAGAGGTGCTGAAGCGGTTTAATGACGATGAAAGGCAAAGCGGCAAGTGCCCGCTGCCAAGGTGAGAACTCTGCTTTCCAAAGGGATTAAAATTATCCCTGATATAGATATCATTTACTTGAGCATTTTATATATTTAATTAACTTGTTTATCAGGTTCCGACTGTCTGAGATATCGTTCGTGCTTAAAGCCATTGCAACGCTTGTGGTGTCCATGAAAAAAGCGCCAGCATCAAAGGGTATACTCTACTTTAATTAAATAAAAATGTTGCCTTTTACTAACTTTTCTGTTTACTCCGCAGTGAACAAGCCTGCTTGGGATCAGTTGATTGGTTTGTACCCCTATCTGGTAGACTGCACCACGACCACGTCGCCGGAGGTTTCGCGTTCACTGCGCGAAGCACTGCTGCAGTACACAGATCTACTGCAGGCGCCACGCACCTGCACGGGAAACATCAACGACAATGCAATACAATCGAATGGACAAGAGTGAAAGTTTGCCTAGACACAGAGACCAAGCTGACATCCAGACTGGTGGCAGCTGTGCGATGTTTTTCTTCTTAGTTCTTTAAGTGCGAAGCGTTTGAATATATATTTATTTTGTGCATAATTTATGAATGTTAATCTTAGCCCTCCCTCGCATAGATGTAACGACTAAGCATCTATGTACTTACATACATACCTAAACGTATATTTATATATATTTGTAAAAGTATTTTGTAGTTGAGCTATAAAGTATATTATATGTAGGTCTATCCGGCGTTGCCGGGAAGCCGAATAACCACGATAAAACCCTACAAACCGCTTGGCAGAGGGATGAAACGCAGACAGCAGATTCCTTTAGTACCTTTTCGAGACGCAAAGACAAAGAACTATATTAGCTGTAGCTATACATATACAAATCTAACTATGATCTATTTGTGTAGCGCATTTTAAAGTACAGACTTGCGTGTTATCTGAATCAAATATTAACCATTAACCATGATGCAACCAACCAACTTTGTAGTGACGTTTTTAAATAAAGCAAAAATTATTATTACCAACTGATAAGCGTAGTTTATTTATGACGTCAGATTGCCGCTATCAAGGCTCGCCATTTGGATAGACGGATGCCTCGACAACAAGTTAACCCCGCCGGTACCTGAGCACACACACCTTCTGTTGGCCTATCCTTATCGCATCCGCAGTGAGCAGCCACCTTGATCTGCCTCCGACATGGAATTCTTTTGACTTGGCAACTGTTTTTATGTTTGTTAAATGTGGTAGCTGATTGCTCGCGCTTTGTTTTAGTTTGTTTAGACCAAAAACTGTATGCGGCCATTATAAATATTTATTAAAGTGATAAGAAATTGTTTACCGGAAAGTTATGCTCTTGACTGGCAGGCAAATGGCATAATGCTACATTAAAAAGTCCATTTTGATTAGAAATATTAGGAAGAATAGCTAAATTAGTTCTTTAAATATATTCAGATTTATTAATTTGGCTGAATATCAAATGGGATACCTACGATTAACCTGAAATATTCTTTCTGGACAACCTACCTTTTGGATTCCTCTTATGCGTCTATATCAGCGAAAGTGCAACGTTTTAATCTAAATAAAATTTTTATTTTAATTTGTTTTGTTTCATTTTTTTGTCTGTTTTCTGTTTTTGTTTTCATTTTAATCGGTATAATAAGTATAATAACATTTTTTGTTGTTCTTGTTTTCATTATTATTATTATTACTGTTAATGTTAATGTTTTTATAGTTTTTTATTTGGTTTCTTTTGGTTTTAATATTAGAATTAGGCAATCGAGTTTAATACTACCTTCGTTTTAAATATTATGCAACGAATTTTTTGGGTTTTTCCTTTCTCATGATTTTTTGTTTATGAATTTTTAAATGTATATATTTAATAAACTCATTTCCGTTCTGGCTAGGCAACTTCTTGTGTGTCCTCACACTCCGTTGCTGTCTCGTATATTTTTTTTTGTTTTTATTTATTTTTTTATTTTGTTTTATGTGCTTGTCAACTCTTTTGGTTTTGGGTTTTTATTTATTACTTAATGCCGTGGGCGCTTAATGTACAGTTGCCTTGTAAAAATGTACAATTCAAGCGCTTGCTTTAAAATATTTTTTTGTGGTTTTTCGGTCTTTATTTTTGTTATTAATCTATATTAGCTGAAAGTTGGTTTTCAACTCTGCCCTATAAATCACTTTTAATAAATAGCCGCCACGCCGCCTTGGTTTCTTCTCCTGCCTGGTTTTGTTTAGCTATTTACTTGTTTAGCGCTTGTAATTAACATTTTTGTCGTGTTCTCATTATGTTTAACTTTTGTTTTAATTTCATGGGCTTAGATATAATACAATTTGTTGTTTATTATACTGCACTAACGGTCGCGTTCGGCTCGCTTTCATTTCATTTACTAACTGCCTTTTCGGGGATTTTTCAAGTTCTAACTGCCAGCGGCTGCAAATTCTTCTCTTCGTCCCATTGATTTCGCTTAAACTCGCTTAAACGTTTAACTTGGTTGTTGTTCTTCGTGTAATATTTAGTTAATGTTTTATGGGTTCGTGTATGTATGCGTGTGTTTTACCGTTTAACAATAGTTTAGTTTTAGTTTAGTTACTAATTTAGTGTAGCACATCCGTGAGATGAGACGAGATTTGCGTGTTTAGATTCCGGGTTTTGGTTTTGGATTTGGGCTTCTTCTTCGGGTTTTCGATCTAAAAAACTCTATTTATATATATATGTAATGTATGTATATATAGTATGTATGTTTATAGTATGTTTTGTATGTATATTAATTTATCTGGTTTAATTAGTATTTGTTAAACAAAAGTAACGCAAGTGCTAAAAACAAGTGTATGCTTATGCAAGTATTCGGCCTCGGTTTCCCTCAGCTTTTTCCTCCATTATAATTATATTTATATCATATAATGTCTATGCAAAGAGATGTTCGGTAGATAGGCGTAAAGAGCGCAGTTTTCTTCTTATTGGAAATTCGTAAAGTTCGTTAGAAATCTGATGAAAGTTTCATTAAAGTTTTCCTTTTGGTTTGTTTCTCAATTTATTCGATAAACTCTTTACATTAAATTACTTAGCTAAATTGTTGGGTTCTTTTCACCATCTTCTGCTTATGTTTTCGGTTTTTCTTTAATATTATTTTCTTTTTTTTGGGTTTTTCAGATTTGTTTTTGCTATAGCCATACAAAATGTTGTGTTTCTTTAATGTATAACGTTAAGTACATATACATACATGCTCGTACATATATGTAATCCTTTGGTTTTAGTTTAATGAACACTTTGTTGGGTTCAATTTCAATATTAGTTTAAAAAGTTAGTTATAGTTTTAAGATTAGCGTTGGTTTTACATTTTCTTGGTTTGGTTTAGGTTTAGAAAAAGTTCTGCTTGTCGAAATTAATATAGTTAAGAAGCGCTGTGCCCTGTTGACTTGTTTGTGATTTCTCTTCGGTCTAGATTTAGGATTAGGTCTAGTTTTAGCTTCGGTTTCCATAATTCATTATCTATGTATTTGTATGTATATATGTAATTTATATAAATTGCTAAAAATCATAGTTTATCGATTAGTATTCTGAAACAGTTTCGTGTTCGCTCTAGTTGAAGACTTTTCGCCAGGACCTCCGGAACCAACTGGAATCCTTCCGCCGGGACCTGGTATCGAGTTCTATTTGGTTATCATAGGGCGATTTCTGAGTTACGAGGAGGGGAGAGGCGGGGGCTGGCACTTAATTGATTTCTTGTTCACTTCTAACTCCCCTAAAGGCTTATGCGGCTAGCTATCCTATATCTAGCTCGTCCCGGAAGGAAGGATTCCATTTGCTTTCGCCGGCCCGTGTGTGTGTGTTTTGTGTGACATTCGGTTACTAGCTTGGATTACAGCATATTTTACTGCTTTCGGTTCTTGGTTTTTATGGCGAACCGTGTTTACCCGTAGTTCTTCTAACTGGTTTATAGAGTGCTGACACAGACACCCCCTTTAAGGCCAAGTCACACGTTTTGCTCAAAGTCGCCGATAAGGGAAATTATTTAAAAGATAAATTATTTCTTAATGGTTTGTTTTATTTCTACTGAAACCCTAAGGCAATTATTTGTTTTCCTACAGTGTCTCCTACAGTTTCGTTTTTTTGTTTTTTACACTACTCGACTCGGGGCGCCTGCGGAAAACAAAGTTAGGTTTTTACGGGTTCGATTCGCAGGAATTTCAGCCTGGCCGGCTAAAGGCTCCTCCTCCATATTCTCATTTCCTTCTCTATCGGAAGCTAGCTCCTTCCCAGAGCTGGAATTCATACAAAATGTGTGACTTGCCAGTGAATCGGTCAAAAGGAATATCTCTGAATAAACATAAATTTGGCTCTGATTTCGCAAACAATGTGTTTCGGTTCTGCAAATGTGTTTTTTAACGATGCCATAACAAGTGTTTCTGGAAATCAACGATTTCCATTGTATATAGTTTATCTTTGGGGGCATTTCTCTTGAGTTTTGCAGCACCCAAACACACTGAATGGGAAGTCGAAGAGAGACAGTTGTGATTTAATTTCCAAAGCTCTTTAGCTTCTTTATTCACTCCGTAGAAAATAATAATAACAATAAAAAAAAAACCAAGGACCTTCCTGAATTTTGAACCTAACTCGTCAATTTTAGCTTTAACTAAGTTGGTTGCCCCTTTGGGAAAACCGATGTGAACCGTTTTTCTGGCTTAAGTTTAGTCTTAGCTTTCGTTTCGGCCTGTGATTTTCCCCCTCGACATTTGGCTTATGCGACTAATTAAAAGTACGTGTTATTATTAATATTATTTATTTATAAGTTATATATATAATATATATAAGGTTCCTTCTTGTAACTTAACTAGAGCTTCGTCTGATGTTCACATTTAGCTGCTCTACTCATGAAGCGACTAACGCGTGAGAGTCAAAAGTGTGTGCCAAGAAATTCTGCATTTGTTGATTATACTGTTCGATAGTTAGCAACAATTGATGGGTAAACAATGGATCGGTCGGTGATCGGTAAATGAGATAGATAGGATAGATAGATAGCAGAACGGAAATGAAAATGAAAATGGATGTGCAGTGAAGGAGTCATATGTTCTATCTGAGGAGTTGTAGTTAGGATACACGATTTGTTTGTTGTCAGGCTTAGTTTGTCGTTTGTTTTCTGTACAAAAAGACATACAATACTGCGTATGTGGTTGTTTGTATATAAGTGTATATTATATAAGTATGTATAGTTTCCGTTTGTTGCATCCTTTTTTCGTTAGTATGTTGTATATATATATAGCATAGTTGTCGAGTGTTCCGAAGTTGATTTTGGTTTGTTTTGTTTTGGTTTGCTTTAAAGTTAGTTACGTGTGTATGGTTTAGTTGTTCATGTTGTTGTGGGTAACATTACGTCATACAATATAGCAGTAAATAGGTATCGTAGCTGTTGTTGTTCTTCTTCTTGTTGGGCTAACTTTTCAGTTCAAAGAGGTTCAAGGATGTCTGACTTCTAGGGGGTTTTGGTCGAAGGAGAGAAGGTCGATGGGGAATCGGTCGGTTGGAACCGGAACCAAGCCCACAAATGATAAATAAGGCGTTTACAGATACAGTTACAGTTACAATGAAAGGGTAGAGTTGGGGGTCAGTTTAATGTACAGTTATGCATAATAGATCAATTGTAATACAAGTAGTAGTTGTCGTCATTAATAGTTGTTATACACAAATAAGCCACAAAAACTGTACAACAATTGTACATGAATAAAAAACTTATGCGCGAGAATTTATCGACGGTTTCCAAAAAGTCTCCTCTCTAGGCTATTATTTACCTTTCCCTTCTTCCTCTATTTTTGTAATTCATCGCATATGTATATAACTATGTAATCGAACATGCACACACACACACGTGATCTATATATATAGCAATTATGTATATATATATATTCTTTATTTTTATATATAACAAGAACATTTCTTTGTTGGTTTTTACCGAGGGTTCTGTTTATTATGCTCATTTAGTTTTTACTATACAAATCGTCTCGTCTGCGTTATTTAACATAATTTTATTTCATTAACTTCATCTTTTTGCTGAGAACACAGTTTACTATGTAAATATTTAAAGCTTTGGTGGCGGCGAAAAAATCAACAACGAAAAGTCCAAGAAAATTAAAAACATCAACTTAAATTAAAGTCATACAAATTTATACATACATATATAAATATATATATACGATTTCGTTATGATTACGAGTTATAAGATGTGAATTGAAGACCGCTTTAGTTCTTAGTTCTTTCGCATTTCGACTTTTATACACATACATTATACATAAACAACCGAAATTAACAACAACAGAAATGAATTAACAGAGCTTATGATTTCATTTATTTGTTTTTAGTTCTTAGTGTGTTTTGATTTTGGTTTTTTAGTTTTTGTTTACCAAAAATGAGGCTAAGCAAATAGTACTGAACTTTACAAGTTTTGGCAGTACGCATCTGATTTACTTCCATCCTTTCCTCCTAAAATTATGCAATATACAATGTTCTCGCTTCCAACGCTTCTTCTTCTTCTCCTTCTTCGTCCTTCGTCTACCTCTCCGTCATCAGCTACTAGTTGTGGTATTAATCCTTTAAAAATATACTCATAACGCGCTACTTAATTGTTTAAAAAGTTCATCTTCAGTTTTTCAATACACCGTATTAACTAAGTTTAATAAACAAAGTTCTTTCAACATCGTTTTCCGATCGCTTTCCCATGTAATCATCATCTTCCTCTTCCTCTCTAATGCTGCTGCTGTTGTTTCCGTTTCCGTTTCGCTTCCTCTGCTTTCTTTTTTTGAGTTCCGTCTAGAACTAAAAACTAACCTCAAAATATCGCTACCTAAAAAATCATAGTTGTATAAAGAGTCCTCTTGCTAGGAAAGAGAGAGACAGAGCCTTGGCTGCTTGCGTCTACGGTGAGTCAGGCAGAGACAGAAGAAAATGCCCTTCTTCAGCTTTTCTCAACTTTTTAGGTTATGTACAATATTACTCTGTTGTTTTCAGGTGGAGGGTGCGTGGGAGAGGGAGTGGCATGTGCGACATTTTTGCTTTGCTTTGGAGTTAACGCTTCACTTTATGGTTAATTGCTAAAGTTCCTTTATTCTGCCATCGTTTATCCATATTCTCTTATTAGTGTTCGTTTAACTGCTATCACTTTCCATTTTAATATTATTTTAGATTTACTTCGGTTTCCTCTTGTTTAATATTAATTGTTTGCTTTTCTTTTATATTTCATTAGTAAAATACAATTTTGCTAAACAAAGTTTGCAGTTTTGCTGGGGCCAGGGAAAATGGGACAGGGGGTGTGGGTATACAACTTTTTCTCTTGTGACCGTTTTCTTTATTTCGGTTTCATTACCATTCTCGATTTCTCTAGTTTTATGTAGTTTATGTAATGTTTTAATGCATTTTACTTTCTGTTACTTGTTTTTTGCTCATATTTAAATGGTTTTATTTGTTATTCTTTATACGGTGTGTTCTTTCTTTTGCTTAGGAATTTTAATCATAATTTCTCCTTTTCTTTTTCCTGCAATAAAGAATAAATTGCGAAAATCACTTGTATTAGTTTAGTGGTGGTCTTGGGTTATGGTTGCTCATGTTGTGATTGGATTGGGGTTCTATCGAGAAATTCAAAAATATGTCAAAGAAAATATTGATAGGAGAGCGATAATCAATAAATCAATAAACTTGGCTATGCTTCAAGTCAAAATAAATCAATAATATAAAATGGTTTGTTAGTAGAAAAATTATGCTACTTTTGGTTGTTGCTGTTGCAGATGCCGTTGATGTTGCTATTGCTGTTCAGATTGTTAGTAGTTATCGTTAATATTTTGGTAAATTATTGCAGTGATTGTTGTTGTTGGAGTAGTTGTAGTTGTTGATGTTAGTTGACGCTGGGCACATTTTGGATCAGATTTGGTTAGTCAAGGCGGGTTCATGGAGAATTGATCGAGGGCGAGGTTTATTATTGGGTTAGTTTTTCGTTTTTGGTGGTGGTTTTTGGTTTTTAGTTTTTAGTTTTTTGATGATGATTGCAGAAAACAGTCAACCAATCAATCGATCGAATCAAGCGGCAGGTTCTCCCACATATTTTCTGTTTTAGTTTTAGGATTTCTCATTCAATTTAGTTTTAACTAGAGAGCGAACTTGATCAACTACTCAAAAGAAATGTTGGTTTATTCGACAATTCATATGGATAGTTATGGGAAAAAAGGAAAAGAATGGAAGATACATTTGATTAGCTTTCCATGATTATCGGCTACGACGAATCACTCAAAGATACCAGAAATCGTCAAGAACAGCAAATCAAAAGTCAATCGGCAACGGAAACGGAAATGAAAATAAAACGAGTTTTCACTGGGGATATTTTCCCCATTTGAGGCAGGCGCAGGCAAGCAGAAACCAGGATCTATGAGCTAAAGAAACAATAAATGTGAACACAGGACAGCACTACGAATAAAAAATAGATAAAACAATAAAAATGCATATTGGTTGGTTTTGTTCTTTTTTTGTTTATTTTTTTTTTTTATTTGTTTAATTTACAATTGTATTTTTTGTTGTTTGTTTTATATTTCGGTAGAAATCAATCTCAAAACGCACAAAATCATAATGGATAGTTGTAATCGGTAGAGAATAGCACAAGTGTTTAGATACTAGATACAAAGAATCGAAATCATTCAAGTTTTCAAGTTTATACACAGCAAAATCAACAGAGGCGACAAAGAAAACATAAAGTGCGCAAACTAGAGGGGCGGGCCGAGGGGCGGTTTTGGGGCAGGGAAAATACTCTTTTGTGTACAATATACAAATAATTCTAATTATAATTCCAAATCAATGCAAAAGTGTTGAGCTACGATTTCTGTATTTTCGTGTGTATGTTTTATTCACTGCCAAGAAATTAATAAGCTTATATAGTGATTTATAATATACATAAGTAACGATTAATTCTGTTTTTGTATTCCTCCAAAGCAAAATGAAAACACTTGCTTCGACTACGGTGTTTTTGTGTTTTTTTTTCTTTTAAATGTGGTTGTTTTTTTTAATGTATATAATTAAAGAATAAGTACTTAAAAACAAAGTTGATAACATTTTCTTGTCGTATTCCTTTACATGATAATTATAATAATAATAATATGGACTGGACTTTGACATAAAAAGAAAGGTTTTGTTTATGTGTATATCTTTTTCTTTAAGTTTCGTTTGTAGTTTTTTTAAGCAACAGAAACAAGCACAGTGAAAAATGAATTTTCGATTTGAATAAAGCAAGAAATTATAAGGCATATTTACGATGAACTAAATTTATAGTATTTATATCTAGAGAACTACATATTTTGTTTTAACTCTCGGATGTGTTGGTGTGAGTGAGTTTTGTGTCTGTGTGCGTTCGTTTTGTGTTTCCGTTTCCGTTTTGTGTTTGTCAGAGTTTTGGGCGAAACAAATATACGGATCAGGAATATATTTGCTTTCGTTTAGCACACATCGAAAAGAGTAGAAACCTAATGTTTAGCTTTTTGTGTTCACTCTCCGTTTCACTTCTCTGGGTCTCGTTATTTTTATTATTTTTTTGCGACGCTCCAGGCACAATAGACTTCATTATAATACAAAATTAGCAAAAACTATATAATTTCTTAACCTTTAACTTTTCATTTTATCGCATATCCGTTTGCGTCAAACACAAAAATTCATTCAGTTTTTTTTTCTTTTCCCATTGTGGTAACTATTAGAAATTGTTAACTAAGAAAATTTCACTAATTGTTGTAGCTGCTGCTCCTCCGTCCGTTTGTCTGTCCGTCCGTAAGTACGTTGCTTCACCGTATCCGTAGTATCTGTAGTATCCGGTTCCGTATGGTTATGTTGGTGTCTGGTCTGCATTCGCATTTGCATTCGCCTGCAGCTTCAACGTCTTTAATTTGCAGTATAAAACTAAAATTTCAACTTTTTCCTCTTCTGCTGCGTTTCGTTTGTTGTTTGTTGGTTTTGTTTTTGTTTGTTTGCTGATGTTTAATATTATTTGGTGTTGACAGTTTATGTTGTTGGTTCTTTTGTTTGTTGTGGTGTTGATTGGTTGGTAGGTTGTTGGTTGGTGTGGTGGGTTTGGAGAGTGGGCACACTTACTGTTCTTGGGGATCAGTATCACTCTCCTCCAGTTCGCTCTTGTTGCGTCGCTTCTCATAGATGAGAATGATGATGCACAGAATCAGCACCTCAGCACAGATGCCCAGGAAAGGCCACAAGGCGGCAAATTTGCCTAGAAAGAACAAATGATTAGTATATTGTTGTACACTTGGTCCTAACCATGGTCGTTAAATTTACTGCATTAAGATGATATATTTTATGGATTTAAATATAATTTCAAGAAAAAATCCTTTATAAGTTTACCTTTTATAATATTCACAGTATTAAAGGAAAATAACTCGTTTTAATCTGGGCTCAGTGCTTAGATTATGAGCCTAGTATGATATTATTTCTGATAATTTTTCACAAAATATTTATGTTTTATAATTTATTCATTGTTCAGAAAAGAGTATGTGTTTCTACACTCATACAAAAGAATCGAAGAATTTCATTGAAATCTAAAAAAATTCTTTCTTGAATTTTCTTCGTCTAGAAAAGTTTTCTATATTCAAAGGCAAATTTTCTAATAACAAGAAACTTTTTCTATTTTCAAAGGTAGGCCGATTTAATGGAGAGATTTCTAAAATTTAGAAATTAATTTTTATGAGTGTATAATGAAATTTAATACTAACTTCAAACATATGAGTTTGCCTTCATTTGGAAATAGATTACTTAAAGGCTATTAGTTAACAGATCTTGACGAAGCGACCATGGTGATTTGATGGATATTTAAGAAAGCTTGGGTGATCCTTCCCTCCGATGAAAACTTACCCTTAACACGCACAGTTGTGAAGTCGCTGGCAGGATTGGTGGAGTTCGAACCATAGTCATTGGCCGCATTGCGTCCAATGCATTTGTACTCGCCTCTGTCGTCCAATGTCACATTATCCAGTGTCAGAATGGCGTTTTGGACGCCGTTATCCGGTTTCAGGACGAAGCGATCTGTGGCGTTCGTCAGCGTTACATTGCCTGGTTGGAGGAATGCAATAGAGTTAAAAACCCATTTTGATCAAGGCGATTTTAAAACTCACCAAAGGTCCATGTCAACTGTGGATCGGTTCCCACAACGGTGCAGGTCACTGACATCTTCTCACCCTCCACAACGGCTGTATTTGAAGGCACTCTTACAACAACGCGGGCTGCAGAAAAAATAAACAATTAATTTCTACGTTCGTGGTCTTAAATTTAAAGATAAACCTTACCAATCACTTCTATTCTCTTGGACTCTCCATCGATCTCGCAACTGTAGTTTCCATGATCGTTCACGTCCGTTTTATCGATTATGAACTTATTCTCATCGCTGATTATTTTAAAACGACCTCTTAGCGAAGGCTCGTCCGTCACAAGAGTGTTGTTCTTTTTCCTGTTTCAAGGACACAGAAAATTAGTTAAATTATAACAAATACTAAAAAATGTAATAATAGAATTTCAAGAAATAATTTAGAATTGATCTTCCTCCGTAGATATTTGCTGGCAGAAAAACCCATTTATCTAAATTAATTCTACAGTTATCGCCATATAGCCGGGCTGCACCTACTCGAGGAACCAACTTTCTCTTGGCCCAACGCCGTTCTCTAAGCCTTTTGCCAATTATTCAAAGACTAATTCCACACGCAAAGTTTGGCCCTGGCCCCAGAACAAGAACGAGAACGAGAACCAGAGACCCGGACAGGTCCCGGAATGAACAAAAGTGTCATTACCATTACCAGACCCTGCCACAGAGCTCGGCGCTTCGGCTACCAACACTAACTGGTCCCAGACAGGAAGGCACTTTTCAGTAACCACCTCTCCCAGAAGTGCCACCCTTCAGACCCCACTCAACTGTACCCATTCGCACAAATGGCACCTGATTGTACTCTCGCAATGGGTAGTCCAATTATTCTTACAAGCTTTGCGATAGAAAAAATTAATTACCAAAAATTAACAATTAAAAAGAAATATTTAAGTAACTGCATGATGGATCTTTGCTGCTTATTTTCTAAGATCATAAAATTAATGACTTGTAAGATAAGTTATAGAGCAATTCCTCAGAAAATGGTCGACGATTAAACACTTGAGTTCAGTGTTTATTTAATCGTTTCACAGTTTAGTCAGTTTAAAAAATACAATTACTAGCTGTATCCTGCCTGGATCCTCGGACACCATCTCGGGTGAAAACGGAAAGGAAATGTGGTATTCATAAAGTATGCATTAAAAAATTTGTTCTGAAAACCCCCTCCCACAACCAAATCCTAGATCCTCCACTGAGTGTACTGTAAGATGGTATTGTAAATGATTTACACACCCCCAAAGAGCTCTGTGTAGGGTGTTTGATGCTTCGTTCTCGTTCCGCTTACCAGGTTACGTCAGTCAGGCAGTCAGTTAGGCAGTCAGGCCAACATAATTAAGCAAAAGTGCTTAGCTGTGCCGTATTAAAATGATTGCTCTTATAACTACTAACTATGTGGGACACAGACACAAACACAGACCCACCCTGCCTCGCATCATCCTCGGATATTTTTGGGAACCCTGAGTAGGGGATTTCGGAATGACTTACCATATGAGAACGCTCTCGGGGGCGTCTTTCACGTTGCAGCTGAGAACCAGCGGCGTTTTGATGTCGTAAAATTTCATTTTATGCTCGACATTATCATAGTTTGGCACCAGCTTATCTGAAGATGTTATAGATAGATACAAAAGATTAGTCAAATATTGGCAAAGGTGGGATGGCGTTCTAATATTGGGATACGAGAAAACGTTTACATAAAGAACTGCTTAAACAAAGTTTATTCTAATAACTTGTATAAAGATAAATATATGTATTTGCTTATAGGAATAAATTGAGAACGAGCTTAAAGTATGAGAGGTTTTTGGGTGGAGATTTTTTGAAGAGATTTCTGAGGTTTTTGATTTGGTTTTTCTTTTTGGCTGAGAGATGAGAGCTTGAGATTCGGTTTTGAGTACTGACTAAATTGCTTAGGAGAGTAATGATGAATTAGCAACACACAAATCACTAATACCAACTCAAAGGTGGAGCAAAAAAAAGAAGGATATTCGTAAAACTAAAACTAAAACTAAAGAATACGTATAAATAAAACAAAAGAGCATACAATTTGGTCAATCGAATTTTATTCATCCTGTCTGGTATAAAACACTTTTTGTACTATTTCGAAACTTGGACTGAAATCAAATAAACTTCATTTTACGCTGCGTATGAATTGAGATTACTTTGATTATTTTACATTTATGTTTGATTAGTTTGGTATGTATAGTATAATTGATTAATTTATCGATTAAGTTAGCTGTAAGATATAAAATAGAGCAAAAGTAGGTAAATTTATGTTTATCGATATACACAATGCGATACATACAACATTTAGATCGATTCTCGATTTATCGACAGCTCGATAGACAAGAAGCGCAAACAAAAAAGCAATAGAGCGAGAGAAGGAGAATCAGCGACTCGACACGTGTTGTTTTTCCGCCTTATCTGGCAGTCTGATTGATTATAATCAGCTCGTAAGCCAAACGCTGCCAATTGTAAACTTATGCGTCATCGAAAACTGGCTGCCAATCAAATTCGAATCGAAATGGAATCAGAATTGAAATCGAAATCGATGTACCTGCCAACTGTGTGTTCAACAATCAGAGTAAACAACCAAAGCGTTAAAGAGGAAGAACCAAGGAGAAAGAGGCAAGGAAAGACAAAGAAAGTCAAAGAAAGACAAAGAAAGCCAAAGGAAAACAAAGATAGAGATAGCTACATACATAGTTCACAGAGGGCATAAGACATGGCAACAAATGAAATCAAGAGAAAGTAAAGCACAAAAGACAAAGAAAGAGCGGCAATGATGAAAAAGTTCAGGCAAACAACTCAAGCTCAACTTAAAGGTGTGACCGTATGTAGATGTGTGGGTGTGTTTGCTGTGTGTGTGTATGGGCGAGAGGGAAAGCCGGCATCGAGCTTGTCAAAGTCGTCGCTCTGAGAGGGAGCGAGCGATTAACGTTTAATTAAAAACCAACAACACCGAAATTAGACTAGCAAGGTTAATGCAATGGAGAGAGAGACGGCGAGCGCAAGCGAGAGGGAGGGAGGGAGAGGTGTGGTGCCTGAGCTGAGATCAGATGCAGTTCGAAAGAGAGAGAGCGAGTGGGTGGGGTGGGCGAACAATTGCAGCGATGACGACTATAACCTTGTTCCCATTTTCAGTTTCACAAATATCAAAGATTTTTGGAGATTTCAAATCGCCTTTTGAGGTCTCAAAAAGTATGCTATTTCTGACTTTTAAAATTAAATTAAAGGTGGTATGGTATGGTAAAACCGAAAAGTAAGTATTTTAAATTAAATATGTAAGTTTAGATTTTTATAGATATCGATATTTCGAGATTTATAAGGATGCAAACATCATACAACTCGAGTAAAAGAGCTTTACAGATAACTTTACTTATCTGAACAATTGAAAATGGGAGCAAGGTCGTAGATTTGCTACGATAACAATTACAATGGCAGTTTCGATCGGCGCGAGCGAGATAAAAGCCAAAAAACGAACAACAACAAAGTGGTCATTTACAAGTTGAACTTTAATAAGAGGTTTAGTGGGTGTATCATGTGTGTTTTGTGTTTGGTGTATGTCTGTGTGTGTGGCTCACCCATCTTGACGGGCAAGAGCGTCTGGTGCTGTAGATGCACTTGATGCCCTTGATGCACTTGATGCACCTGATGCCCCTGGCCACCCATCATTGGGACACCGACACCCGCACCTGCAACACCACCATATCCGCCCATCATGGCCTTTGTGCTGGTGGCTGCTGAAATGGTGGTCTGCTCTCCGCTTCCGCTTCCCCTTCCTCCTCCTCCTCCTGATCCCAATTCCGTTCCCACCACATACGGCACATAGTGCGGTGCATGCGTCTGGTATCGCTCACTCTGGCCAGGATTGGGTCGCGGCGGCAGTGGCAGCTGGAAAGCATTAAGCGTATGCTGCGCCTGCTGCTGCAACTGCTGCTGGTGGTGGGCATGGTGGTGCGCCGTCGTCAGGAGAAGGCTCGCCTCCGTGGCAGTGGCGCTGGCAGTGGTATGCGTCTGATTGTACAGTATGGTGGGTGGCTCCGGTGGCGCCACCGTGTGCAGGCTGAGGCGCGGTGGTGGAATATCGGGCGGTGTGTTCGAATAAACGCGATGGATCCCGCTGCTGCCGCCGCCCGCCGATGGATGCCAATGCTGAGTGCCCGACAAACTATCGTTTCCAAAGCCCAAATGCGACTTGTGCTGCTTGTGCGGCTGGTGGGGCAACTGTTGCTGCTGCTCCTGCCACGTTCTTGTGAAGAATTCACCCGCCGAGTTGGGCGTCAGCTCGTCAATGGTTTGATAGCCGGACTCGGTGGGTTCGCTAGCTCCCGATAATCCTCCTGCTCCCTTGGAGTCCCGCACGTGCAGCATGTGGCTGCTGTGGCGATGGTTGCACTGGTACCGACCCTCGTGCACCTTGAGGGCATGCTTCACATATAGGTGGGCCTCGATCTTGTGCTCATCACCTTTAGCGGGACCAACAGATGATGATGATGATGACCAACTCCTCGGGAAACAAGTTCATCCGCCAAAATACTCACCCTCGTAGGTTCCCTCCTCCAAAACGTAGGCGTGATCATCGCGCCCATGACGCAGATTGTGCCGCGTGATCGGCTCCCCATTCTTGAGCCAATGGATCTGCTCGGTGATCGGGACAATGCAGGTGATCGAGAAATCCTCGCCCAGCTTCACCGAGTGGTCACCAAAGATGATGGTCGGCTCTGTGAACTCCTCGCTCTGGTCGTTGGCTGCTCCCACAACAAAAAGCGAACGTTGGTATAGGGTTCTTCAAGGGTCACACAATGAACTTATAACTAGTCTAGGAAAAGTGCTGGTCAACCAAATTGATGGACATCGGGGGTGTGCATCAAAAATATCAGAGAATTTAAAATTACTCAAAAAGGCGTCAGAAATAATGCAACGATATATGTAGTTTATTTCGTAAAATCTATTGCATTTTGTTCTAACGAATTTTCTGGAAATTTATGAGCTCTAGATATTTCCGAACCACCCACATTGAATTCTTTTAAGGCCGGCGATTGTGAAGATATTTTTACGGCAGTTTTCCAAGTCCCAAGTAAACAATTTCCAAGCATTGAGTTTCAATAATGATTGATTTTAAAACTTTCTTTTCAAATTGCAAAAGTTTACATTCAGATTATAAAACTGCTGGATAAATACTATCCCAATCGCCAGTCTTTATCAAATTCCGTAGACCAGTGAAAACGATTCCAAATAATAAAATCTAACTGAAATTCAAGGCGAAAAAGTAGAAACAAAAATCGATCATCAATACTTCCTAATAATATAAATGTTTATGTGATGACTTATATTATGTGTGTGTTTTCCCGTTTATGGTATTTATTGAAAAAGTTGCGATCGATTATTTGATTTCAGCGCCAAGTTGCAAATATATATATTTCAATGTTGGAATTTATCTAGTCGAAATGCTTATATGCTTTGGGCAGTTCTATTTTTTTCTGGGGTCAAAGGAGGAGGCTAATAAAACACATTTACACACAGAACACAAAAACACACGGATGGAAAATAAACTAACATAAACCGAAAATCTATTTACGTAATGGTGGAAATTAACATTAACTTATTTATCGATATAAATTGGTTTTCTCTAACAGCACTGAGTGATTTATAGTAACTTAACCGATACAAGGCAAGAAAAGAGACAATGTGCGATAGTTAGAAGGTATATGCTACAAATAGAATGTAGTGGGTTTTTCTCCAATTCCGAAAGACACTTTACTGTACACTAATTTATCACAGTTTGTCGCAATTATCGCAGTTAACGAAATAAAACCACCAAAAATGCAATTTTCTGTCGTCTGAAAATTAGCTTAAATTATTGTTTGTGGCGCTTATCAATTTCGTAACATATCGTAACTTATTTTTATTATCCGCTTGATTTTATGCATTTATACCATGACATCGTGAGATAATACAAATATATTTTTTGTTTTTGAAATAGTACCATATATGACGTCAATGATTAAACAATTTATTCATTGGTTTTATAGTCATTTATAATAATAAAAAATAAATTAATGCATGGACATGAATTTACTCTATTTTTATCAAACCAAAAAGTTTTCTTGAAGGTATTTCCATTATTTAAAATTCGCTGTAAACGAATATAAATTGTGTTTCCATGTCGGAAACTAATTACTTTCCGCGAAACCTCAATAATTGGATTTTTTGCTCGACTTTGGGTTGCTTCTAATCAACGAAGAAAAAAAGATAGTCGAAAACAATGACGTCAATGGTCCGACGACTGGTTTAAACTGCATCGATGACGTCAATTTCGACCAGTTTTAACTGCATAAGCCCACTGAGACCTGCTGCGAAGCCTTGTGGCGAACCATTATAACTTGTTGAGTTGTTATCGCCAAGTACTCTCTGATAACACAGAAGCAGGGCCATAAATATTTGTGTAATTCTGTGTGCCCGGGGAGTACATATGTGTTTGGACATAAGTACAAATGTACGTGTATTTCCTCGTTCTGTTGCCCATATATATTTGCCGGATGTATTACAAAATGGACTGACGAGCTTGATAAAAAAATAAACCGAGCCGAACACAGCAACACG